TTTTTGGTGATTTATTGGGTTTTTTTTTTCTCCAGTATCCGAACTCACGGTCGTGCATTTGTTTCCGGACGGGTGTTTTTGTGTTAGATCCCAATTAATTTTGATTTGATGATTTTTTTTCTGTTGCGTTTGCATCAATTGCTCGTCCAGATTCGGGACTGACTAATCTGAAAAGTGTGGGCTGTTTCCTTTTTAAATTTGTTATTCTTTTGGTGGGAGATTCTTATTTTCAATTCATACGCGCAATTTTCTCTCTTATTCCTGAGCCTACTTGGTTGACGTTTGGAACGAATCTGCATCGTCATCATGTCATCAGAACATTGCATTTTGTTCCTATATTCACTATATTTTGGTTAGTACCTCATTCCGTTCATATTTTCTTAATTATTCTATTTGGATCGGAATTTACTGGCTAGAAATTCCTCAACGTTTTACATATGTATAATTATGCCTACGCGGTTGAGAATTCAATTTACCATCAGCCTCAATGTTGTTTTAGATTGTTAATTTTGGATGTAAGTTGATTTGTTCTCCTCGACAGGTTGCCGGTTTTGTGTCTCCTCTTAGAAACAAAAAGAAGTCAGAAAATCTAGAAGCTAATGGGACCAATGGATTATGAGAGTAACAGTTGGATATGGGATGGTGTATATTACTACCCACATCTGTTTGGTGGTTTAATGCTCACGGCGGCCTTGCTTGGATTTTCTACCAGTTATTTTAGTGGGATTGGAGTTCCGTCTTTGCCATTCTTCTGGTCTGATTTTGGGATCTTCCAGAAAAGAAAGAGTGAAAAGAAACGTATTCGGGTCTACATGGATGGGTGTTTTGATCTCATGCATTTTGGTCATGCCAATGCGTTGAGGCAAGCTAAGGCTTTGGGAGATGAGTTGGTGGTGGGTGTTGTAAGTGATGAAGAAATCATAGCGAATAAGGGTCCACCGGTGTTACCAATGGAAGAAAGGTATCCACTAAGATGTTATTTATTTTACTCTACACATCTTCACCCCTTATAAATTCTAGCAAAAGCGAATCCCGTGGGAAAGAAACTAGATGACCAATAGAAAACACGTTAGGAATTTGTAGGTTGTTGTCTTATTATTCTTTGATATTTGGCATATTAGACCCTTTACTTTTGAGTTTTATTTTGTTTTTACGTTTTGTTTTTGGAATTCATCTGAACTTTTCACGAGTTTCCTCGTGCAGCCCACACTCCAAAAGTCACTATTAGGCAGTAGTTGAAAATGTGATGTTGTGATAGCCTTGAGGCTGTTTGAGGTAATCAAAGCCTGCCAAATATGGACTTGACGCCCATTTCTGAAAAACTGCAAGGATAGAATGGAAATTTGGTTTTTTGTCAAAACCAGATTACAGATCTGAAGAAACACCTAAATTTGTTAGGTACAATCATATAGACTCACGGACCACACAAAAAAAGTGGAATTGATTGGCTAGGAAGGAAATTCAATTAGAGGGTATTGGTATTGTGTTGTGACTTCCTTCCCTTACAAGAGGAAAAGGACCATCATTGCACATACAACTAAGGTGTTCTGTTTTGTCTGATTGGATATCGTACTTTATTGGGTGCATAAATTATCCTATCTTCTTTAGCAGGTTCATTTCCTGAACATTTATTTTATACTTATTAAAAGAAAGAAGATAACTATTTGCAAAGCTATCATTGTTCATATGGTTTGAGTTTGGGTTACAACTTAATGCGTCACCCGCTTTATACTTTCTTATAAGGGTCTATGTCATTTGGCTGGAGGTTTTATTGAAACAAAATTAAGAATGTTCAGAAAGCTAAATTTTTACCACAATAATTTGCTCAGTGTCTTCTAACCGAAGGCTCCTTTTAGGCTGGCTCTTGTTAGTGGTTTGAAGTGGGTGGATGAAGTTATTGCCAATGCCCCCTATGCAATTACTGAGCAATTCATGAACAGACTCTTTAATGAGCATAAGATTGACTATATTATTCACGGCGATGATCCATGCCTACTTCCAGATGGAACTGATGCTTATGCCTTAGCTAAGAAAGCTGGACGGTACAAGCAAATCAAGCGTACTGAAGGAGTCTCCAGCACCGACATCGTAGGTACTGTGTCTCTTAATCTTCTCTAAGAAGTTTCTGGTTGGTGCCTCTTTGTCCATCCTCTCTTCTCATGCTGTGCCCATTCGTTTCTTTGGTACAAACGTTGGCTATTTTCACATGAAGCATATTTTAAATTTACCAGCTTATTGAGCTCTTGAAACATAACTTGGTTTTGCCTTTTCTTATATTTTCTTCATCTTTTAAGGATTTTTGAATAAAATGTTTTAATCTATCATTACTTTATTGATGTAGGAAGAATACTCTCTTCCATTAACGATGCTGATTATAATGAAACATCACTAAATGGAGATCATAAGAAGGGAACTTCATCGCATGGTGCCCTCTCGCACTTTCTACCAACATCACACCGAATTGTTCAGTTTTCAAATGGAAGGGTATGTTTCTCTACTGACCTGCATATAATCGAAGCCTTATTACAGGAGGATTGCTTTGCACTAGATACTAGTTTACCTACCTTGTGCATTAAGGTGTTTGTTGTGTCAAAAATTGGAATGATGTAATGAATTTATGCATCTACTGATACTATATTGAGATTTGAAAGGTAGATGATAGACCCTGGTGGCCTGGTTATTAATGTGTTGGGGGGAAATACGTGTGAGAGGGAGGGTAGGGTCTAACATATTGTGTTATTGTATGATGTAATGAGTGGGTCCTCAGTTGAGTTAGTTAGAAGCTGATGGGACCGGGAATCTAGAGTAGTATATGGTAAGTTTGTTGTGAAGGGAAAACCCATGCTTTTGCTTAGATTGTGATATTCTGGTTTGTAGGGAGAGATAGGAGACTCTCTAAATTTCCCAAGCTGTATTCTAGATACTCTTTCGAAATCTAGTGGATTCTACTGGTTAGTTTAGATGATGTTGGTCAAAAAAATAAAAAATAAAAAATAAAAAGAGCATCAAGTTCCTAATTAAAATTCAATGTTTGAAATTTAAATTTTATGTCATATATTCCATCTAATAAATCAAGAATTTGATAAGTTGAATGACAGAAAAAGATAATTCTTGGGCAGAAAAGGTTCGTTGACAACATTAAAATCCCTAAAATGTTATTTGATTACATATTTTAATAAGCAATTCACTTGCTAAAAGAGAATACAATGAAAGTGAGGGAGTCAATACAATATTTCGAAGTACATAAAAAATTTTATGGGTTGGGTAAATTTAATTCATATATACGAATTCTCAATATCTAACTATGTTGGTTTTCTCACCCTTGCTCCATGATAAGTTCTATCATGTATCCAATCCATTCATTTTAATAAATTATAATATCCAATGTCAGGGGCCTGGACCAAATGCTCGTATTGTGTACATTGATGGGGCTTTTGATCTTTTTCATGCAGGACATATTGAGGTATGATGTTTTACATATTTGACAATCTCTTCTCTATTCATCCCTCACTCTGCTTGCTTTTATATTTAACCCTGGTTTCTGACATTTCATATTTTTTTAAAAAAAATTCTTTGACTTAGATTTTCAGTTCCAAAAATGATTAGTGTTATGGAAAATGACAAATTTGTATACTCGTGTGTTCATTCATCATTGCACATGCCTTGTAATTCAACAAGCCTCAACTCAAAACTATAATATTTTATGTTGCTAGAATGCTGCTGTCAGAAATATGCTTAAGTTTTAAAAGTTTTGCTGGCCTTATCGGTTTATGAGTGAAGGAGGTCTTTTTTGTTTGAACTATACACCTTCTTGATAAACTCATAACATCGTAGAGGATGGTTGCTATGTTGCACATGTGGTGTGACTCTGTCAATGGGTAAACGAACTGCAGTGTATCTTAAAATGATTGTCCTAGCTTCTTTTTTGAAGGCAATATCAAGATACGATTGACACAGTGTGCTTAATTTGACAGCTATAGATTTCATTATAAGCTTGTATGGGAATGTTCAAGACCTCATGCTAATACATCTGCAACATTTTCTTTCTATTGAGTGCACTGTAGTAATTGAACATTCTCTGCATCGTTTTCCCACTTCAATTCAATTATATATGAATTTGATTTGTTCTTTCACTTTCTAATCAGTAATAACAATGGTTTTTCAAGAATACTATTTTGCTTTTAAACTTTTAGATGGAGGATACTTATCCCTGTACGTTTTATTCTATGTTATTATATTCTTAGTGTTTGTGATCCTATCATCTCGTCTCTTTTCAGATTCTCAAAAGTGCTAGGCAGCTTGGAGATTTTTTGCTAGTCGGGATACATACTGATCAGACTGTGAGGTACTTTATATTCATTCATAGGATTTGATTTGTTTGTATGGTTTTTCTATTAAGCTTATGGTGTGTTTCTCTCTTTCTATTCTTTCTCAAAACTATTGATATAAAATCTTGCCTTAACTGTTAATGAGTTGGAAAAGTTGAAGTCAATAACACGTTGTACCCTACAGTAAACACAGGGGGAAGCAATTTCCAATTATGCATTTACATGAACGTAGCCTCAGTGTGCTGGGTTGTCGGCACGTTGATGAGGTGATCATTGGTGCACCCTGGGAAATTACAAAAGACATGGTGAGTTGTTTGCTCCTGTTTTGGTTTTTCTTTAAACATAACACGGGGATGTCGTGTTGAAACCCCCCTTACGCTGTAGACTTCATGTCTGCATCTAGTGATTGCTGAAGGTCTAATTGATGAAGCATAATTTTGGTGGCAGATTACTACTTTCAATATATCTTTAGTTGTGCATGGGACTGTTGCTGAAAACAACTCTTTTGCTGTAAGTATATCTATTTCTTACTATTTATGAGACAAGATTTTCTAAAAATCTTTCTTAAGGTTAATATTTACGAAACTATGACAAGATGTGATTGTCTGTCTCAGGGTGACGGTGATCCATATGCTGTTCCAAAGAGTATGGGAATTTTCAGGTTGCTCGAAAGCCCCAAAAACATTACCACTACTTCAATAGCCAAAAGGATAGTTGCTAATCACGATGCTTTTAAGGTATTCACTCCAAGCTTCTCTCGTTGCTTGAGCCTAAATAACCTCCTTTGTACTTCTATAGAAATTTGAACATTCAATATGCTATCCTAAAGAATACTTTTTGGAGTCAGAATTGATAATGTCTTTATATTAGTCAGACACTTGGACTCATATATGTTACATGTAAGTTCATGATCATGTGCATCAAAGAAAATGAAATACCAGCATTTTTATCCTATAGGATTACATATTGACCAACCAATGTGGTAAATGGTAATGCACCCTCTAGCACATTTTCAACTGGGCGTTCTCCCCCGTCCTGTCTTTTATACTTCTGGCACGGTTTCACTGCCGCTATACTTCTGTTGATATGTAAAAGAAAAAGTTAAATGGCCAGTAATCTCCTTTGTCCTGTTTCTGCATTCTAGACGTTTTAGTCAGACAAACACTTGATTTGATGAATTAAGTTGGACTTCTTTATTTATAATGCAGAAACGTAATGCAAAAAAGGTGGAAAGCGAGAAGAAATACTACGCCGAGAAGAAATACATATGTGGAGAGTAAATGCTTTGCTTCTGCTTTACAATTTACTGTTCAGCGTCAGGAACTTGGTTGTGTAACTCTTGTTTCTGAAGATCTTCAGTACAGATTTTTTCCCATGAAGATAGATTTAGAATATGAAAGGAGTTACATCCTTTTCGAAGAAATGCCTTCAGCAGAATTTGACATGGAAATTAACTTTGTAATTTCATTGTAGGCTATAACCTGCAGCAGCTAGAATAGATAAAACTGTGAACTACACAATGATTTGCAATTTATGCATGTAAACATCCAAATCGTATAGGTATCAGTCGTTTTTTTCTTTCACTTTTTTCCTTTTGCCTTCTTATCCAGGTAATGTAGGTGTTGCTGTATTGTATTGTATTGTTTTGGAAGCAGTAAAAGCTATATTTATTATTTGATTTCTCTGGAATTAACATACATTCCCACAACTCTTATACTTCTGCTGCATATAAGTTTTAGTTCTTACTCCTAAATCTTGTACCATCATTATTGTACGAGAATTTTTTTCAGACAAAAATCTCAACTGGACAAGATCCATTTTGTATCGTATCTAATGGATTAATGGATTATTGGATTCGAGCCGAAGAAGCAATATTACCCGATCATTATCAGCCATTGTGCATCTTCCAGTGTTCCAATCCGTTCGAGATCATCAGAAATTTCTTTCGGTGGAAAAGTGGAGGATAAGATTCACCAATCTATTGAGAATACATTTTATTTTTTACTGCCACACCATGCATAATTGATTATCCTGTCTGCCACATTCACCATATCCTCAGTGAGTTATAAATTATGGGACATTTATACCTTTATTAACGAATGTATAATTCACAATCATCTCAAGAATATAATCACATCTCTTTGTATTGAAACCAACTTCTTGATAAAAGGATATTAAAGTGCAACTTTTTTTTTAAGTCAAAAAGCTACTACTGTTGATAGTTTCCTATATTCTTCAAGATATTAAAGTGTAACTTTTTTTCAAGTCAAAAAGCTACTACTGTTGATAGTTTCCTATATTCTTCAAAGATGATTATCATTTTTCTACGAAATATTATTTACATTGATTCTCCATCCATTTATTTTTATGCTCGAAACCAGTAACATAATTTACAAATTTTTTCTTAAACGCGATTGAGTTAATTTATCTGGTTAAAACTCTATTTACCTTTTATCGCGATTGAGTTAATTTATCTGGTTAAAACTCTATTTACCTTTTATCATGATAGTTTACTCGATCCTATAATTCAAAATAGATTTGTGCAAATCTTAACTTTATCCCTTTAACATTATTTTTTATGACATATTGTTACCTATGATTTGATAGGCTACGAGTTATCTCACTAACTAAATGTAATAGAGTCCGACGAAATAGAAATTAAAATGAATGGCTCATGGATGCAAAAATCAAAAGAAAGAATTATGTTATTTGAATTGCGGTAGAGAATGAAGAAGATTTCACACGAAAATTTTGGAAAATAAGTTCCCCAAGGAAAACTTCTTCCACAATTTAAGAACGTTAGTTTAAATTTAAAACTGAAAAATGATTAAATTAATGTGTATTTTATATTAAAATACATATTAGAACATGAATCATCATAGTATAATAAAAAATATATTATTTAGAAGAGATGGGTCGAATTCAGAGAATGCCACCTCTCAAAATGGCAAATGGAGAACCTTCCTTGTTCAAAACGATAATTTTCTTCAAAAAAAAAAAAAGGTAGATAACGTTATTCCATTATCATTCATCATGATCTCTCATCAAAATTTGGAACTTTTCTCACACAAGATATCATAATGCCATTTGCCAGTGGAAAATACTGATTCATTAGAATCCAGCTGAGCTGGGAAGTTTTGAAGGGGAGAAAGATTTGTACAAGAGCTCACAATTCTCCAACACAGCAACTCCTCAGATAAGAAAAGCTGCCACATGATGATGAACACAAGAGCAAGAGGAACAAAAAGGCATTATATTTATACCCATATGATGTTTAGAAGTCAATTTTGCTGCAAATTAGCCTATTTCCTAGCGCCCCCCATGAGATCAAAAGATGGCATTCTTCACCATGTACATACCATCAACGGAACCATGTTATGGGTGCGGACGTTTGTTGGGGCAGCTGTGGGATCATGCAGTGCTGTTGGTGCCATTGATGTATAGCATTAGCGCCATCCATTCCACCATAGCCATAAGGTTGTTGACTGCTGAAGCTGTCATCTTCAATCTCCATTGTTGCCCCTTCAATCTCCTCAGCTTCCATCATCTGTGGAGCTTCCTCTTGGGGCACATCCATGTTTGTAGGAGCAGGAACCTGCATCCGTGGAACCCATGGAACAACAGCTAAATTCCTGTTCTCTGTCCCCATTTCGTCGTCGTCTTCACCCAGTTTCAGCCTGCTAGCATTACGGTTTTCACGGAGAATTTCGCCTGATAATTGTCAGATATATAGAGATCAGAATAATTCTTCATGGTACTTTTTGAGATAATAACTATAGAAACTTAATAATTGATCTTTGCCAAAACCAGAATGGTTGTAGTCTAAATCTGTGCTCTACTTGAGCATCTAAGTCATGCCTGTGAAGACTGAAGACGTTCCTCAGTCAAATATCAGACGATCCAAAGAAATTATGGAAACCGCAGTGAAGAAAAGCTCAGAATTAGGTAGTTTTCAGTGTAGAATTCAAAGATCGGAACGGAATTGAGATAAATACGGAGAAACTACGTTGGAAGTGAGTACTTACTTCTGAAGCCAGATATAATGTCCGAATCAACAGAGACCGAAAGAGGAGATGACTGCAAGAAAGTCGTGTTCACAGGCTTAAAGAGAACAATAGCCCTCTCTTGGTTGTCGCAGAAAGGACGATCCTCCATAGCACAAGCTGAAGCAGAGACAGAGGAAGCATCTGGCAATTCCTCAATCCTCAGACCGCCCCGACTTGCAACAAAATTCTCAGGCATCAATGGCTGCTCGCTTAAAACAGCAATTTCCGGCGGTTCTTCTTCTTCAATAATAGGCGGCAAACCGACATCCTAGAAAATCAAAGAAAATTGTTAGAATCAAAGCTCCACAACTCCATTGGAAGAATTGACACCAAAAAAAAAAAAAAAAGTACCAAACGGCGAATCTTCCTGGCAGGCGAGGAGAGAGAGAAATCGGAGAACTCATCGTTAATTTGATCGAGATCTTTCCTCTTCATCTTCATCTTCATGTCCGATCAAACAGAAACTCCTCCACCAAATCTGTAGTGGTTGAAAAAATCTGATTCCCCTCCGACCAAATTCAGCGAAGAACAAATGGAATCGTATCTTTATATAAACAAGAGTAGGAAAAAACAGGAGAAATTGTTAGAACGAAGCCCAATGAGAGAGAAGGAAAAAGGGTTTCTGTTTCTGGCTTTCTCTAGACCTCTCTGGAAGCCCCACTGATACAGAAGACGAAGAAGAAGCCCAATTCTTCTAAAAGAATAATAATAAATAATAAATAAAAATTCTTTTTCTTTAATTTTTAATATTCATATAGTTTTACGTTACATAAACTTATATATATAATATACCTGCTATAATAGCGGTTAATCAGAATTTGTTTGTGGCGTCTTACAATTGGAGGCAGAGGGATTATCAGATACTCTCACGCTTCCTTCCTGAGTCTGACACGTGCGAAAAATTATTAACTTCTGATTAAATGCTCCTCTGATAATTACTCGGTTTTGTTTTCTAATTAAGAAAAGCCTGCCATTTTTTTCTCTCTAATACTAAATATAACTAAAAAAAAGTAAATATAAATATATTATTTTGTTCTATATGCAACTTATATTAATAGTTACAAAATTACAAAAATTCATCTTCGACCAAAGAACAATAACTAGATGCTTATCAATTAAAATCCATCTTTATATATATAATAGTTTTTTTTATTAAAAAAAGAGTAAGAAGCAAATAAAGTAAAGACCTTATCTTTCTGTCCAAATTGCATGTCGAGATTTATAGGGACTTATAGTTTAATTGATTAAAACGTAAGTACCGCTCATAATGGTTATATTGTAGATTTGAGGCCTACTAAACCTATAATCTCTTATCTTCACCTAATACAAGGCAATGAAGTCCCCACCATCTAACAATATGGACGCTCATAATGGTTATATTGTAGATTTGAGGCCTACTAAACCTATAATCTCTTATCTTCACCTAATACAAGGCAATGAAGTCCCCACCATCTAACAATATGGAATCACAAAGCTACGGCTGCCGTAGCTATCAATCAAAATTTGGAAGTGTTTTATTTATTGGAAAAAAAATCTATTTTATGCATTTCTCTCTCCTACTTATAAAAAAATTTAAACAATGATAATCAATACCTAAGTAACACCAAAGTATTTTTCTCTAGTAAATATATTAATGGATCGTATTTGTTTTTTAAACAAAAAAGATAAAATAATTATCAATTAGACGGGATATAGAAAATATTCCAAACAAAAAATAAGATCACCGGAAAAGAAATTCCTCGATATTTTATGAAATTTGTATCAATATTAGTAAAAGAAGATTTTCTTTTTAAGTTTTACCAACTTAAGTTAAATTTTCTAAAATGGAGATAAATTGTTAGGAATTTTCTCTTTCGGTATTTTTAATAGGTGACAAAAGCATGGTCACATTTGCAAATATAGCAATAATTTTCTTTTTATTTGTCAAATATGACAAAAATTTTAAATTAATTTTTACTTTTACATTATTTCGATTAAGGGAGAGCACCCTACTTGCTTGTTGACACGTGAGGAAAAATAGGAGATATTTCCAAAATTCGATATACAATGTATCACTCTTAAATATACCCAATACTAAGTTATCATAAAGGGATATGCTTAGCAATATCACAAACAACACTATAAAATTAGTCTCCCCTTTTTGTATTTGATACCTTTTTCTGAGTATTTAGTTTATACAGTTTGTTGTTGGTGTAAACTGTAAATCCTCTCCCCCCTTTCGCATCTTCTCTTTGTAATGGTGGACTGGTGTTTTAATATGCCTCTTTGTTGGGGATTTCCTTTTTCTCTTTTTCTTTTTAATGAATGAAATTCCGATTTCTCTGCCAAAAAGCTAACAAACAAACAGAATTACTTAAATTTATAAGGTGATATTCTTTGGCAGCTTTCCAAGTTTACACTGAGTTCAAACCATGTTTCTATGCAACGATGGAGATCATAGTGTTTATGGGATATGGCGATGATCAGGATGATGCTTCTGCTGGAGAAAGCAGAAGAATGATGGAAGAATAACAAAGCATGGGATAAAGATTGTTGTCAAGGAAGTGAGCGTACTGTCGGATTGCCACATCTCTTTCGGGAAGATCGCTTGAGAGGAAGTCGAACGGCGAGATCTTACCCGTGTCTACCAATGGCTCCCATCTGTATCCAGGCCTCTCGGGCAATGTCACGGTGACAGGTAAGTGATTGGCATTGAAGGCTATATAAATTTCTCCTTTCACCGAATCAACCTGGGTACAAGCCATCTCCAAATAAGAATCAATCTCGAGTATATACAATGACATGATCTCAGTAAGTTGAAAAGCAACGTGTGATGTGTTATGGGACCGGTGTTAGATACAGTAGACCAAAAAGGTGAGGAATAAAGATAAGTTTGAGAACATCTCGGCTTAGAAAACAGAAGAATAAAGATGGTTTTATGAGCGGGAATGGAAACATACCAGAGTGAAGGCCACGAAACGGCTTGCTTCAGACCAGTCTGGCTTTCCAGGAGAATTACCATGCCATTGCAGTCTCTCAGCTGTTGGGAAATCATTTAAGCCAAGTGACTCACATTCACTGCAAGATCATACAAAATAGGCATGAAGAGAGAGCGCAGGTCGATAATCATTTGTAAGTTGTAACTACACGAAACAAATTCATTCAGAAAAGGAGGCACTTACTGGCGGAATGTGGTCACAAGACTGCAAAACCTATGGAAGTCAGATGATGACTCTTCTAACTTGTCCCAACGGAAATAATTGATCTGTGGTAAAGTTAGCAGCTCAGGTCAACAGATGTGAATTTCAGCTCAACAGAAAAGGTCAGAAAATAGCGAGATGCAGGAACTACATAGTTATCATGGCAATACGTATTGTTGTTTCCTCCCTTTGTGTGACCATATTCATCGCCCATATGAATCATTGGGACGCCCTGATCAGATAAGAAACAGTAAGAACAAAATTTAAAGAACTAATTTTATAATATATTAAATTGGTATGTGCATCAAAGTTTGTCAAGTCCTATTAGACAGTGTTCATGTTGCGGGAATTTTTGGATACCCACCTTCAGGTATCCAAATTCTCGTGTTCTTTTTTTGCAGACATTTCATAATGATGGATATCTTAAGATTATAGGCATCTAAGAGGCTTTTCATCCAGAATCTTACTTGGGAAACCATGAGGCAGACAAAGAAATTTCTCATCTGTCTTTTCCTCAATTTCTTTACACTCATGCTAACAAACTCTCCCTCCTGTGTAACATAAGAAACGGACACAATAAAAAAGGGGAAGAAATAGCAAATGGCAAAAATAATAATAAACAAAAGAGAAAAAAATATGAGTATCCAGACGACAGGCTCCAAAAGTAAAAAGCTCTCAGGAGTATGAAAGATAAATTCTCATCCTAATAAATAAAACTTAGCAGCCTTTAGTACTTATTTCAACTCGTTCAACACAAAATAGTAAATACTTTCAGGCAACAATACTCCTAAAAAACAAACTTTGATGTGTGTTCTTATTCTCTAGATGACACTCTAGGAGTACTATAATATATAGATTCAGTAAAAACTGAAAACTCAGAAATATAAACGAGGAGAAACTACCACCCCCATTTTGTTTTTTTTTTTATAAAAGCAAATTGAACATATTAATGAAAAACAAAGGGTGGCTATCTTCCTCCCCCCTAAAAGAAATAAGATTTTCATTTAGATTGCCAAAAGTACCAGCAAAACAACTAAATATGTTGTAACTTATCGGGATTCAGGGATGCTACCATCCTGTTTCTTTTGGGGTTTTCCCAATCTTGTTGGGTTGGAATTCTACCATATCTCCATTTGCTTTCTTTTGGGGTTTTTTAGTTATATTTTATGATTAATCCCAATTGGAGGGTGTTTCTTTGACCTCGGTCTTGATCTAGGAGATGCCCTGTGTAGCTTGTTGCCTTTTTCGGGTGTTTTGTCTTTCTCTAGGGTAGAAGGTTGTTTCCAATCAGCAAAAGGAGACAAAAAGGTTTTGTGTTTCTTGTAGAAAAATATCACTTTTTCTCTTAAACGGAGAAAAAGGATCACAAGCATTAATTCTTCCTTTGACCAGAATAACCAAATAAAAACATTGATCAAGTACTTATTCTTCCTTCCACAGTATTAGCAAAAAGCTAAATTAGTCAGCCTTATAATAGTCTCTCTGCATGCTTAGCAAAAAATGTCACGCCCCAGGTCTTCATACTGCTGTAAACTGCAGCCAAAGGTAGCTCACATTCTTGTTAGCCACCTTCTCATGTTCTTTTTTCAACATTCCTCCTTGCCTACGGATCAAATTCAAAACTGATGATAATTGTTAGTTCTTACGCCATTAGTAGAGTCAGCAAGATGCTTCATATCTATTGCAGAGAGAGTCCAATAGGATTTTTTAGCCATTAGTGGAACTGAGCTCTAACCATTGAAACCAAACTGTTGTGTAGTTTCGACACAAGGAAAAAAAAGCATTAAAGAGGGTTTTGATCTGCCTATTTTCAAAATTGAAGGAACAAGGTGACTCAGCCAAATTTCTTTTTTTTCGTTTATTTTAAAGGACTTGCATAATTTCTTTGATCATCTATTAAAATTTCGGTCCTCCTATCTACTATATATCTGTCTTTTGTGTCCATTGCTAATAAGGTCCAAATATCTTATCCTACATACCAACTCAACGATAATATTATGAGATATATACAACTGAATGCATACCTGTCCACAGTTCCAGCTATTATTATGACTTTCACCGTCATTGTTGTCTTCGCCATTTGCTAAATTGTGTTTATTATTGTAAGTCACTAAATCAGCCAAAGTGAAACCATCGTGTGCACAAATAAAGTTGATACTATTCCATGGTTTCCTTCCTCCTCCCTGTAAAAACATTGTTATATACTTGACTCAATATGCAAATTAGAAAACATTGTTCCATATTATACTCAACATGAAAACACCCTATACAACACTATAATTTATAGTAGGATAGATAGAACCGAGTTTAGACTTCAAACGAACAACTGTTGTTTAATTAGGCTATAATTTATCATTTTCAATATTCATACTCATATGCATAAATATTTGCATACTTGTGTAATCGTTAAAGATATTTAAAATTGATATACATACATATATGTATATGTGTGTGTGTATATATATAACTTTTTTTTTGGTACAAATAAATATATAACTTAGAAACACTTAAAAATAACATGATATGTTTCGACACCAAACAAAAAAATGAAAAATCAATTTGTAATATTTCCATCCACTCAAATCAGGCAGCATCCTGCGTCGTCTAATGCACAGCTCGCAGAGCTCTTAATCATTAATAGCCCTACTCCCTGGCAACAAATTCACTATGGTAGTTTCTAATATTCATGCCCCACTGCGAGTCTTGCCCCAAACCAAAAACTCCATAAGGATGCCGCTATGATCTGCAGTGCTTCTTCGTATAATACTTCCAAATCTGGACTCACTTTCTTCAGTTCTATAAAATATATCCAAAGCTATTATGCTATTTTTGCTATCCTTCCCACAAAATGTTGACAGGGCGGGATTAAACTATCTGTACCATATGACCAAAGAGAAGGAAGAGAATTCTACGTAACCTGGTAAAGATTAGGGCTCCCACAAAGGCATTCAGCAAAAGCGCCTGAAAAGCCATCTGTACCTTTGATGAACTGCCGTACAATGTCTCGATACTAAAATTGACAAAAAAAAAAAATTGTGATCAAGTTATCATAAACAATATCAAATTATGCAAGTACATAGCTAGAAGTTCTTATAGCACATTGAGAATCGTTAAGACTGCTGAGGAATGCTAAAGTTACTCGGTTCATTGAAGATCCACCAAATTCCAGTCATTATTATTCTTTTATTTAGGCAAGGCGGCACTCTTTTACTTTCAACCTTTACTCTAATGGTTGTTAACTTGGTAGATTAGACCTCTCAATACTTTCCCCACTCATCCTGCTATTAACAAAAGTCTTTCCTGTCTCGTAGCTTCATTGGCTGAAGAATCTGACTCGTCAGTTCCACGAGAATGCTTAGACATTGGACAACCCAGAAGACATAACGAGTAATTAGACAAGTCTCTCACTCGTCTTAAATAGTCTTCTTTCCATCCTTTGTTAGATGCATATTTGGTGGTAACGGTCCCAAACAATCTTGAAGAATAAAAGAGCTCCAACAATTTGATCCAGTATATCAATCAACAAAGCCGTACCCAAACGTGGTATTTTTATTGCATGACCATCCACACCCATCCTTCTAGGGTTCATCCTTCTTAGGCATAAGTAACCTGGGCACGAGAACTGGTGCTATGACAAATTAACCCTGTATTGAGTAGGTCTTGCACTTGATCCTGGGGTAATTTATACTCTGTTAGGCTTATCCATTGATGTGGTAGGTTAAATAGAAACCAAGAACCAGGTCTATACAATGCTAAACGTCCTAAAAATGGTGGCAGTTGACTAGGTAATCTGCGAGATAGGTCTCAAATTTTCAAGACAGGTTTTCTACCTCCTCCTCCATCTACAAACCCTTTAAACGGGAGCTATGATTGGTACAAGTACACGGTACACCTTTCACAAAAATTCTTCAGTGGAATCAATAGTAGACTATGGAGAAGTTGTGCCACTAATTGAAAGCTTCATTTTACTCCCCAGTGAAAAAAGGTTGTGAAAGCACCTCTTGATCCAATATAAAAGGAATATAAACTATTTTCAAATTGCTTCACTATCATTATTTATAATTTCTTTTTTGTTTTCCCAAATATGGAATAATAAGCAAAAAGGAAAATATCTACGCAGACCTGCCCGTTCCATTCTGACCAAACACCCCAGTGAGGAAATGTGCCAACTTGGTAGAGGCCCCCAGCATCCCATGCTTCTGCAATGAGCTGTTTCAAAGAGGAAAAAGAATAAGAATAATGATAGTAACAAAAGAAACTAGTAGAATCGTTCCATGAGATGGTGAGCACCAAATTCAATCAATATAAAATTCCTTCCATGCGATCAGAAAGGAGACCAAATACTTTAAACCGTGGCTTAAAGGAGAGCATCTTTCATTTACTTCACGTGCACAAAACTCTACAACAAAAAGAATGCCTGAAAGAAATAACATACGTTTCCTCGATGTTACTGAAGCATTAATTTTACAATAGAAAATCCAAAATCAAATGGGAAGAAACTGTCCTCCACATCGATTATTTATTTTACTCAGGAAAAAAAAAAGATCAAACAGAATTGTTCAAGAGAATTGAACAGTCCTAAGCATGCGAAAGAATATTGCTATAGAAATATCGAGAATATTAGTAATTTGCTAGTAAGTTTTTTCGAGTTGGTTAAAGATAGAGTTGAGGCCTACTTTATTTTCTAGTAAGTTCTTAGTCTGAAAGAAATGTATCATCTTCTTCTTTCTAATTTTATCTGATCCACTTCAACAAGAACCACCAAATGGGGTAAGCTAGAGCTCTGTCTCAACCGAACAACAAAAATAACCTAAAAATTAGTATATCAAAATTAAAAAATAAATGACAACATCTCTTATTTGGAGAGTTGTTCATTAGGTAAAAATGGGATAATATTATTCCCAACAATATATCATCATCCAGAGATTATTAACTCACGAATATATGTCATTTTCGATATGATATGCAATAATAAGCTAAGAATATGGATGACAGCAGGAGAGAATTATGAAGTTAAATCAAACGGAAGAGGCAGCAACCTGCCCATTGATCTCTAATGAGTTGGTAGAGTCATTAAAAATTAGAGTTCAAACGGACTGTTGATAGCAGATGATAAAAACAAGAAAACTATTTAGGACATGTTTATAGTTAGTTGTCCATAAGCAGACAATCAAGTAGAAGAGAGGTATTTAGAGTAAAGACCTTCACTCCTTGAAGTACTGGGTCGTTACTTATCATGTCAATTAATGGAGGATTGCCAAGGGGAGAACCAGTTGTGAGTACATCACCTTCTATTGGATTTCCGTACACATTTACTGCATCCCAGAGACTGTCCATGAATGAGGAAAAGGATGAATAACGAGACAAATATCCATAAAAATATAAGTATACTGTATACAGACAAAGTTCGGCCAATAACCTGCTACCTCTGGTCATTATAGAAGCAAGGTCAAAGCGAAACCCATCCACGTGCATTTCTGTTACCCAATATCTGCGGCCAATAATTTAGGAACTGAGGTGGCAAAGGTAAAGCCAAAAGAATTGATAGCCTAAACCCAAAAAAAAAAAAAAAAAAGTTGGGAGTACGCTGTGATATCAACCAATATCACTTTGCAGGTTCACATTTACTTAAACGAGATCAAAGAGAGATATTAACCAATAATTTTCCGTTGGACTCGGAAGTGTATTGCAAATGGCATAACATCCTACTGATCATATTCAAAGGCATTCTTCTTGGTTGTTATGGCTGGTGCCTTTTGTGCAATTATATTTTTGAGAGTTTAGATTATGTTTTGGTTTTATGGGATTGTCAATTCACATACTCAATTAGGGACAGTTCTTTTTAGACTTTTGATGTGTGTTCAGCTCGTGATAGGTTATGTCGTTTGATGATGCAGAAGATCCTCTCACTTGCATGCAGCCTTTTTTGCTATCTTGTGAAATACCTGGCTTGAGAGAAGTAGAAGAATTTTTAGAGTTGACGGTCTATCTACAAGCTCTTTTTGTAATCTTCAATTTGGTTCCTTGTACAGACCCCCTTTATAGTGGGGCGCTTTTTCTTACCGCATCAAGGCCAAATATTGACTTTATTCTTGGGGTAGGAATTTCAAGTTGTTTAGTAGATTTGATTTATTATGCTATTACTTTGTTCAGTTCATAGTTGTTCTTTCTACAAGTAAACATCTAATCTTTCTTTCTCCTTTCCTTTCATGTGTTTTAAATAAATTAAATTTGAACCTAACGTATGTCAAAAATATAGGATCCACAATTTTGGTAAATCTACCTCAAGCAGTCCACAATAAATCTACGGACAGCTGGATGATTGCAATTAAATGTGTTCCCACATCCCGAATAATTATAGAACTCTCCCTGCAAAACCATGAATAAGATTAGCTAGAATTAAAAAGATAAAAATAGATTAGTCAACAGAAAGCATTGAATTCAAATAAAAATACAAAATGATATTATTAAACTAAACTGCACCCATTACTTGATCTTCTATATAAATTTTAGTAATATTACCTAACCGATTTAAATTTAAAATAACCATCCAGTAAGTAAGAGAAAAAATGTAGGTCCAGGTTTATAATTTGAATGTACAGATCACAGGCTTAAACACATAAAGAATTAGAACAAGTAGTTAGCTTCTTAGCATTTCTCACTTGCCATTTTATTTCAGCAATTATCAACTCCAAAGAGGGAATTTGTATTTTCTTTTCTTTTTAACAGAAGTGGAATGCTCGGGTTTTCCACCGTATAGGAAACCTTAAACATTAGATTGAAGGAAATTAGAGATTTTCATTTCTACAATAACCACACGATAAGAAGAACTTGTGGTAAAAACAAGTCTAGATGTTTCAAGCAGTTGAAGACGGTATCAAAATCTCATATAGATATTTGAAGAAAGCTTAATTAAGAGAATTCAAACGCCATTCTTCCATCGTTTATTGATGTCATGTTATTCTTCCTCTAAATAAAATGCATGGAAGGAAAATTAATAATCTTACAGATACATACCATTGGTGCAAGCATGTAATACACACTATTATCAACACCCCTGAAAGAAAAAATAGGGCCATTTTCATTCCCCTCAGCCGTGTGATTAAAAACAACATCCATGATCACCTGATCAAAAAAGAAAGGCTAACTAAAAAAATGAAAAATATAACCAAAAGTAACCATAGACTTATTTCATTATTCCACCTCAATTCCACGTTTATGAGCTTCTCTAATAAGAAGCTTGAATTCATTTATTGCATCCTGGCCACATTTTCGTATGCCAGCAGAAGAATATCGTATCATTGGTGAAAAGAAACCAACAGTTGAGTATCCCCAAAAGTTCATCCTGGACAAAAAAATTTACTTCATGATATGATTTAATGACAAAAATAATGGTAAAAACCTAGAAAGTTGGTATATGGATACTTTAGTGCTTATTTATTATCGAGGGTCTCATCATAAACGATCCAACATATAACTAATTTCTCAAGTTATTGGAACAATTTTGGGTAGAAAAGTGTATGCAGTTTATTGCTCACAGCATACCACCAATTGAAACCAAACAAAACCATTCCAATATAACAGATCTTCAAGATAGTGACTTGTGCTATTATAAAATAAAACTATGTGTGAACTATAAAATCAGAATAAAAATGGTCCAAGGGTCTCAGCCCTTCTTTTTCAGAGGGAAATTTTAAGCCCTGCACTATTAAGCAAGAAAAAATATAATAGTTCTCCAAATGAAGGCATCAAATAGTACTTATAGTCACCCAAGACAGAGTTGTAGCTAAAATATTCCAACTCGTTGAATTCATGGCATGGCATTAACTCTATACAGTTGACCCCAAGTTCCTGAAAGTGATAATAATTAAAGAGTTGTACATCAGGAAGAGAACAGAAGAATGGGTTATGTATTACTTGTTAAAGATAGTAACATTTGCGGTTATGAAAGAGCAGAGCCAAAGCAACGATTCTTATTTGTACTTAGAAACAAAAAGAAAAACTTAAACTAATAAATTATTAGGTTCAAATTAAATAAAGTTGAATGGAGTAATGGCCTAGAAACCCCATCAGAAAAAAAATGCAATATTTCACTAGGTGTCATATATATGTTTCTTTTAACTTATGGAAATGCCAGCTTTAATTCAAACGCCCCTCCTTATAAATAGGAGCTGACAAGTAGAAAACTGATTTAATGCCAATTATGCGGTTGGCTTGAGAATAATTATTCTAAAATGAGGGCACGCAGAAAGGGGTACAGAGAGCAAGAAGGCCATAATAACCCACAGTTACAAGGCCACGCCTGAATGTACCATTACTACATCATTTCTCCTTGGCTTAAAAAATTATAACATTGTATTCTTTATTCTAAAAAGAATTATAAACAGTCCACAGAAATAGCAATCAATTTGACACCAAATGACTTGCAGGAAGATTCCAATATTGAAAAATAGAATAGAATAGGACTATATTCCCATCTAAGGCATGGTAGATTTGTAATTGAAGCACTCTAAAATGTACCTTCAAGTAATCTAGCTTCTCCACTAGACCAAGATAGGTACCAGGAAACTCCGAATGACTTGATTCATGCCTGGTGAACCCCCGTACATGCATTTCATATATTATAAGATCTTTTTGTGGGTACTGCAGAGGTAAATCCCCTTCCCAATCAAACTGAAAACACCACATCAAATATACATTGATATATCAGCATGTTAGATGCCCTCAACATAGAAAGCAAATTACAATGAGATAGAGCTGCAATGACTTTGAAAAGCATTAACAGAAATAGGCTACTTAACGTTCCTGAGGGTCCATTTCATAGTACTTCTATCATTTTTTATTTTTGAAAAATAAGCTTACAGGGTCTAGAAAAGGCTTTCGTCCTGGAGAAATGTTTTTCTCTAAAAGGGGGAAGGATCACCTTGATCTAATTGGAGTTGTGTGGTATTTGGTATTCCCTTTTACTTTTTATCCATTTTCAAATTTCCAGCGTTAGTTAGGGAAAAGTTGGAAAAGTTAATGAGAGACTTTTTGCAGGCAGAGGTTGAGGAGGGAGGTGGGTCACTATTTCGTGAATTATACCAAAATATTGCAAGAAGATTGGCCTGGAGATTGGGAACTTGGGAAGTGAAAATATTGCGCTCCAAAATACAGATATCAGAAAGAGAAAGAAACATATTGTAACTGTGTAAGGCCTCCAATTGTGAATGTATATACTAGGAGGGGTAGAAGGGAGAATATACGTGGGAGTTAGTTTGTTTGGGATCCGTCTGTGGGTCCCAATGGAGGGGTGCATGATGTCTAGGGGTATAAAAGGGAGTGTTGCTTAGGGAGGAAGGCAGTTATCATTTTGGTTGATAAGAGGAAGTCGGTGTAGGAGGAGAGTTCCCAGCCCTCTCAAATAGGCTGGTTGTCTGTTAATCTTCTTTGCCATTTTAATACCAAGAATCGTAAGGAGATTCTTACACATAGTATGGTAAAGCTAGCCATATGGGAAATAAATTTTCTACCTCATCAATAACAGTGGGTACCATGCCAGCCATTTGGGGCCAGCAGTTGTTATCAGGTCCCGGGGCACCAAACTCCCCTCTGCTAATAACGGCCTGAGGAAAGAAATAGGAAGTCAGCAACTCTCTAAACACAAGAAAATCAAAATTTTCAAAGTAAGGAAATAGTGCAACCAATATTTATGGGAGAAAATTTGAAGACAAAAAGGAAAATTATGAAAAAACGAACTTTAGCATAAGGATCTAACAAAATCCGAGAAGGGTCAAAGTAGCATCCGTCCTGAGGGGAGAATTCCCCGTCAAATTTGTAGCCATAAAGCATCTCGGTAAAACCTCCCTTCAAAAATACATGCCAGACATCCCCAGTTTTATTAGTTAAGGGATCAAGGGTGACCTCCTTGGTCACTCTATTCTGCACAAAGCAAATGGTAACCATTAGCTATGGTGAAGTCTACGATTCGGAGCAAACTAATTCAAAGATACATTTTCCAGTACAAAATCATGTGAATGGAAACGAAGCATTGAAAAGAAAATGAAAAAATAAACAAAAAATAAAAAGAAAAACGCTACTCTTTTAGTTTCGCCACTGATATAATTGAGTATCTGTGTATAGAGTTCCGTAAAATGAATAAGATAACGAATGCTACCCATCTATTTGTCCTCCATAAAGGCCAACGTAAATTGAAGAATAAATAAGAATGCACTTCTGATAATAAAGTCACGAACAGCAGCGACATAGAAAAATATTCTCTCTCTGAGGAAAAGATATAGTTGATAATGTATAATCAAGAATTCAAGTCTATTTCTATTTCACCTCCTGCAAATCGAAAAGGTTCATCAAACACAGGGTAGCTGAAACCGCATTGCCAGAATAGACAGCGAAATTCATCCCGCCGTCTCGAGCCGTGGCACCCAAAGGCGCCGGATCACCCTCGAACACTTCAAACCGATGCAAATTGGAAACCTCGACCTCTTCCGCCATCGCGACCGAAGTCCCAACCTCTGCTCCACGATTACTCGCTCTAGTCAGCGACATCTTCATCCTCGAATTAATCCAATTAGCATCCAAATCCATGTGGATATCACTTCTTCTCCGGCTTCGAACTGCATTATTCTTCGAACTACGGCGTCGACATTCAGGAAATCTCGACTTCGGAGCGCACAGAAAGCACGCGGACCAACACAGGGAAGTACTCCGAGTTACCAGCTCCATTTGTTCAGAGAATTATGCTCATCGCCTGTTCAAGGCAAGCTAATTACAAATCATAGCTTAGTTGGGTGAAACATATGAGCTCACCTCAAAGCGTTGCTTGCCTTAACTGTCGAGTGAGCAAACATGGAACTCGTTGCTTCTGCCATGGCCGTTCTTTTCAGAGAAGTTGGGTCCACGGGTGTCATTGTCGTCCATGGACGGACGTGGGTAAGAGATGGAATGGATTCTAAAAGCTTCGATGGTACGGTCACCCTTGATTCGGCAAATTCTGAGTCCTCTCGCAAAATATTTTTGCACCTCAGAAATCAAAATATCTCCAACTTATCCACCACTTTTTAGGAATCCGGCGCCAATTTCAATCTCTAACCTTACTTTGGCATGTCAATTCGAGAGCATAGTTCACAGTTAAAAGACATCCGGCTAATTTTCATTTTCATATTTGTAATAAAAAAAGATAGATATATATATATATATATATATATATATATATTATACAGGATTAAATTTTGGAAATCACTCTCGGTGGATTCATAATTTTAGGTGGAGCACAAATTCATACACGGTTAATTACACTTTTAATTTGAATTATTGTAGTCATACTGACTAAACTGTGTTATTAAATAATTTTGACTCAGCAAAATTGAGCATAGCTCAAGTGATTAAGGTATTTATCCGAACATAATTCAAGTGGTTAAGACACGTATCTCTTATCAAAAGGTCATGAATTCGAATTCCCCACCCCACTTGTACTAAAAATAATAATAATAATTTTGACTAAACTATTTAACACAGTTTTTTTTTTTTTGCCAAAAGTGAGCATAACTAATTAACATAATTTACAATTAAGAGGTTGTGAATTTGATAAAAAACACTGAATTACTTTTATTGACATAAAACATGTTAAAACACCATGAAATGACTTCCAAAAGCATAAAATATATGTATGGACAACTTCCAAACACATCACATCCACAATTATTGGTAATATGATTGGGTTGAATATCACAAAATACCCCTTAATTGTGTTTTACCAAAGAGAATTAAAAAAGAGTTCATATTTATTTTATTTTGTGTACTCGACCACTTAGCACAATTATCCTAATAAAAAACGTACAATAAAATGATAAAAGATATTAACAATTTATGAAATTAATTTTAATTACTGAGACCAAATCGAAACTTTTAAATTAAGGGGATCAGATTGAAAATAAATCTATACTACACAAACAAACAAAATTCGAAGTAGACACTAAAGACTAGGTTAACAACGAAAAACTTTTTAAGTTACTTAATAAACTATTTATGTTTATTATTTATAATTTTTTTTAACACATTTCCGTGTCCATTTATTCCAATACAAATTAAATCATGTTTCATCATTTTTTAAATTTATGGGTGCTGAGGAGATGTAATTATATATTTTTTTTAATAGAGAAAACGAAAATAAGAAAATTAGACGAGCTATAAAAACTTATTTTTGTTATTTTTAAAATTTCTATTCAATTTATAAAAAAATGAAAAATGAAAAATATAAATATTTATAAAATACTTAGATTCGGTAATAAAACTAGAACGGATAATACATTATACATTACCAAATTTGTAATAAAAAAAAGAAAAGGAACACCATTTGAGATTGAAAAAAGGATGCGAAATTTAACATTAAAAACGTGTTATCTTATCACCTCACGGCCACGGGCGCGGCAAACGGCAAACCGAGTCAAAGGCCATACAAACATCGTCCATATTTAGGCCGCGGAGAAGGCGCGATAGTAAAATCACGAGACACGACGTTTCATCTGATCCTCTGTTGTGCCAACTCCATTATCATCGCTCTAGATTCCCTCACCTCTACTCCTCGTTTCGGTTCCTCCGGGAAGCCTCAGAATTCTTCTGCATTGGCCTTCCTACCGAATCGCGTCGGTAATTGTTCTGGCACTGCAGAGCATGGGGAATCCGTCATGGCCTTCGGAGGAAGAGGTAATTCTTCAAGCAATGCGGCTTCTCTTGTTTCTGGTTTTCTTACGAATCTCTTTACATCGTTCTCGTGTTCATTTCGTTAATGTCTGTCCATTGCTTTCTGGATTGTTTGTTTATTCGATTTACTTGGGACGACACTGGTGTTTTCCGTGCTCTGTTAAATCACTTGTAGCTGGAAAACTTGAGTTGATATTTTGTACATGTTTGCTTGAATTACTTAATTTCGATTCATTTAGTACTTTCTCACTGGATCTGGCATCGCAACGTGAATATGGGGATCGAATGGGGCATTGTTTGTTACCGACGCGAATCTCACTCTCTTATGGTTTTTATATTGGATCTCTTCTGGTTAATTTGTGATTGGCCTGCTTTGCTGTTTTAGATAAATGTAGTTAAGAAGGTTGTTTCGGAAATGTCCAAGAGAAGTACAGAGGACGTTCGAATAGTCGTCTCTCCGTATCGAATTTGTCCATTGGGAGCTCATATTGATCATCAGGTTAGTTCTATATGATCTCTTGAAATTGCGCATCCGCTGTCTCATTGGAGTAGTTCGTATTGGTGGTGCTTCAAGTCAGCAAACGTAGCGGCATTTTCTTTAATTTTAACTTTTATGCTTTATATTAGTAAATGAAGAACTTAGTTTATTGTTCTGGAGTTTATTCCATGATGATATTGATGTTTTTGTTAATCTCTTCTATTGGTTGCTAGGGTGGGAATGTTTCGGCAATGGCGATAAATAAGGGTGTGCTCTTAGGATTTGTTCCGTCTGGCGATTCTCAGGTAATGATTGTGCAATTACGATATTCTGTGTAGCCATTCAAATTACACAGTTATGAATCTCAACTGAGAGACTAGGAACACTTTATTTTTAAGGATGTAATATTTCTAGTGCCTCGAGATCAGCTCTTCACGTACAGGTTTAAATCTGTTATATTTTGCTTATTTTAAGTTTAAGATGAAACCCAAGTATTTTAGTTTATACTTGAATATGATTTCAGCGACTAGGTGAAGTCATAGGGAACATCATTAACAGAGATTTATAAGGAAAAAAAGTGTGGAGAAGTTTTGAAAGTTGATAATAAAACCTGCAAAGGTAATCAATAGATCCCATCTGACAGTTATGTTATGCATGGAAAATGACGATAGAACACTGAATATGCATTTTGGAAGAAAATTTCTTCACCCAGTTTCTAAGGACACTTTTACCAACTTGAGAACTCATTGTTAGTCTTGATAGTTGGTGAAAACGCATGATAACCAGGTTATCGATGCTTAGTAGCAATGCTAAGATGGCCTGAAATGCCAGCTGATTTTTGAATTGTTCTAAAAAGACAATGATGTCTCAGCTATATCAAATCCAGCATTAAACATTTCATACCTCAAGGCAATTTAAAATCAAGTTCTAGCTAATCTGATCATGCCATATGCCTCATCAGTGATCATGGTAAGTACTAGGAGATATTTAGATTTTAGATTTTGTTAGTTAGGAATTTTTGGGTTTTAGAACTCAACTCCTTGGCTTGGTTCCAAAGTATAAAAAGTGAACTATTGTGTATGCATGGTTCGCAAGAGGGCCATCTTTCAAGGAAAACAAGAGATAGAACGAAGTTAATCAAAGTTAAAGAAAGTGAATAGAAATGAAAGGAACTTGAAATGTCAATAGGTCAAAAATATAAAAGAAATCTATAAAGTTAGATTTTTTTCCCATTTGTTTCAAATGACCTAAAGGTTTCAACCAATGACGTGTTGGCTTTATGGACCACTATGAAATGACATTGGTTGGTACAGGCTATAGTCATCAGTTCTTTCTGTTTATGATGTTTGTGCACACATAGACATGCATTTGTATGTCTTTATATATGTAATTGTAACTTGTAAAGCTGGAGAATCGATTACAAGGATCAATGACCTATGTTACGTTTGGTCTAAATGGATGTCTAAAACCATGGCTGTAAAGTATATTGACAGCATTTTAATTTCTTGGTTTTTTCAACTTCAACTTTTTAACTTTCTCTGCACATGGAGATGTTGATCTCTGTTTATATTTCTCACAAATGATCTAATAGCAAGAGCTACGTATTTTATCGTGAAACCAAAGTTGACGCATGCTAGTTTATCAAGTAATATTTTGGAGCTCTTGTAGGTTGTACTGCGATCAGCAGAGTTTAAAGGAGATGTTAATTTCAGGTGTGATCTACTCTCTAAAATCTTTTTCTTCCATATCTCATAACTCTTGTGGAAGTATACATCAAATAAAACCTTAATGCTACTTTTGTCATTAATAGGTGAAAACCACAGGCTTTTCATTCGTGAATTCATGTGAATAAGTCATCACTACAAGATTGCCGATAGGCTGAGATAAAAGAATCATAGCATAATGCAATATAGAACAAAAGACTTCTAATGCTGCTGTAATTAAAGAATGTCTGTGAAAAGCCCAAAGAAGCCAATTCATGTTTACGAGAAATAATTTAATAACTAACTTAACCAGGTTGTCTCCAACAAAGTCGTTTCCTCCCTTTGCATCCTGTTATTCGAAGGTTTCTACAATAGTTTGTTCGACTCTTTATAACCTTTTCTGCTTAGGTGGAAAACGTCTTCTCGGATCGTTTTGTGGTTGCTTACTTGCTTTTGTTAATATCACTACTATTACTTAGAGTACAAAGGGGACTAGAATTATGTGTACAAGACTTCAACTTGTGAGTTAATTTTCCTTTCAAAACTTGAACTGTTTATTATTTTGTATTTTCCCCAAAATTTTGTACGAAATGAAAATCATGATTGCTTCAAGTGATGTGAAATATGGTACGACTTGTTTGTCTGTGTTGTGATTTCCTATTGATATTAGCCGTTACCTTTCCACATAGGTCTGCAAATGCATAATTTTCTTGCACATTGATGCTATACATGACATCGTATAATAAACACTTGTTCATTTGTTATCGTGGAAACTGCAGAGTTGATGAAAACCAGTATCCAGACCAAACTAGTAACAAGAAGGAAGGGACAGAGGAAAATAACTGGGGAAGGTATGCTAGAGGTGCAGTATATGCACTACAAAGAAAAGAACATTGTCTTTCTCAGGTTAGAGACTTTTCTTTGTTTCTCTTCTATTTGGAGTTCACAACTAGTTTCTGCTGAACCCAGTTAAAAATTCAGTGCCAAATAGTATATAAAATTGCAAGATGCATAGTGTTTGCTTTCATTGAACGATTAGCTTTTTTGGGAACAATTAGCAGCCAAAGTGTTTCAGCTCTATAACTTGTAGACTTGGAGTCATTACCTAATCTTTTGGCTGCATGCATCAATGGGAGTAGAATGTCTAGGTTTTAGATTAATCAGGAAGATATCAGTTATCACTTTACCTTTACATAATTGTTTTAGACTAGCATTGCTATTGTGGTGTCTAAACATCAAATGGTCTGTGAACCTGTTTCACGGACCATCCATGTGGGTGGGAGCATTCTCGCCTCCCTCGGCACCTAAATCAAACCCCGATGCAATGTTGAAGTGGATATACAAAAGCTCTAAAGCCATGAGGTAGCTAAAATATTTCTGAGATCTTTTATTGCAATGTTTCAGGGTATAATAGGCTATGTTTGTGGTTCTGAAGGTCTTGACAGTTCAGGCCTCAGCTCTTCTGCAGCTGTAAGTATTTTTTTTTTTCCTTCCTCTCATTCTTCATGTCTCCTTCTGCATTCTGACGCTGTAAAGTTGGTCGATTGTTAATAGGGTTAAATGACTTCGTAACATGTTTTTAAGTACCAAGACTCGAAAAAATCATTCTTTCAGAAGCCAGCATAATTAGTTTGACTTTGACACAAATGAGTTGGCCACAAAGGAGACCGTTATTTTTTTGGCCATTTTTGGGGACTCCTTTCTATGTTTAAATCTTTTATACTACATAATTTGGGCTGTGGTATGGATATATTTTTTGCTACCTAATGAATGTGTCCCAGACTTGCAGCTTTGTTTACTTTTGCACGCACATATTTTTTTGTGAAAAGAGTCCACTTTTGACATTTCCTAATTCCTAAGTTCAAAGTTCACTAGAAACAACAGGGTTTTTGCACGCATAAAGAAGAGATAAAAAGATTGGAAGAGCCAGTGGATAGTACAAGCTAAATACTTATTAATGAAATATACACATATATTATACTAGTAACTTTAGGAACAAGGCATGTGTGAAAATTTTAAAATGGTTTTATTTTATAAAAAATTAATGATTTATTGTACATTTGAATCATTATTCTCACTTTCAAGAAGAAAATAAGCTTTAAAAGTAATTAAATTATATGTGAAACATATTAACGTAAAAGGAGACACTTTTCAGGCGATTGCAATAAAGTACGAAGTTATCTGTAGGCCCCCAGTTGGAGTTCACAAAAGACTATAATGTGATTAAACTAGAATTTTAGAGTGATTGGCTTTGGACTCTCGAAGCAATTTGATAGTATGCACCAGTTGGAGTCTGTGTTACTAGTCTTGAGTGGAAGAATTGGATATCACGTTCTGTAATGTAGTCTCTAGAGTACATGTTTAGACTGAAGTGTAAAAATAATATACACATAACTGGATGATTAAACGAGGCGTTAATTTCAATAACTAAGTTTTAATATCTGTAGTTTATGGTTGACAGGTTGGATTGGCTTACTTGTTAGCGCTGGAAAGTGCCAATAATTTAACAATATCTCCCACAGAAAATATCGAATACGATAGGTAGGTACCTCGATTGCTTGATTATACTTCTACTGCATATGGTCAATTGGTCAGTCTGAGAGTGCAATGCTGCTAGTGTACATGTTGTTCAAATTAACCATGCAAACGAAAATTAGATAGAACCTGCTTTTAAGATAATGGTGTTAAAAAGTTGGAAATTTGACTCTACGTGTGATGTTAAAGGAACTTATATTATTTCTAGATGTCCTTTCTATAGCTCTTCTATCATGCATTCTTCCATTCAGGGATAGAGGATCCCCCCATAATCTTTTGCAAATATAATAACTTCAGAATTAAATATGGCACTAAATTGTGGATGATGAGAATAAATTTGATGTATTTTTCTTACAGTAAACTTCCAAATTTTAATTCGTTGAAACATAAAACTTGTCTTTAAATTTCATTTGTTTCAAGTTCATGCTTCATTATGAAATCATTTTGTAGGGGCTGCAACAGGCCCAACTGCCCATGTATCACCGTTTATCTTGCCAAATTTCATAGACGATTTATTTAACCATAGCTGTTAATACCCATTGATAATTTGATACCATTAATTAATCTCATGAAATTTTGGTAAGGTAATAGATGAACTGTTAATGTCCGGGAATTTTTTAGTTTTTATATGAGGAATTTTATGGATATGGATGAATGCATGAGGTGGTACCCATTTGGGTCAGTTTGGTATTTCTTTAGATAGAATCAGCTGCATAAATCCGTAAAGTGATTTATTATAGAGATGTTGTCTTTTAGAAAAAATAATTTTTGATTTATTTATTTATTTTTATTTTTTGCTAATTTGAAAAAAAATTATTCAATAGATTTTATTAACAAAGAGATTGATTATTCAAATCGTTACTAATCAACCCTTGAGTTGCTTCACAAATTTATTATTAAATGAAGAATGCTTATTTACTAATCAATATGAGATGGTTGAAATAATTATTTTCCTTAAGAAATTCAATAGCATTACCACATGCGGTTAAATGTGCATGCTTGATGTATATACACATGTTTTTATTTGTCGTCTCTCCTTTGTAATGTAGGCTAATTGAAAATGGATACTTGGGTCTGAGAAATGGCATACTGGACCAATCAGCAATATTACTTTCAAGCTATGGTTGTCTATTGCACATGAACTGCAAGGTAGTGGATAGATTTTCGTGTTTTAGAAAATAACTGGTGATAAATTACAGCAGAATTTGGTTTCATTTACGATTTTATCATTTTGCATCTTTTCCAAGCATCAAAGTACGTGATATACTTATTTTATTGATTTTGTTAATTTTTCTGCTAGTTTATTCCACAAATGAAGTACTTGTACCAATAAGTTGTTTTGTATTTTCAATTTTGGAAAAATAATAAAAGAGGACCCTTTAGTTTTCACAATATCGGCAGGATTAAGGGACGGTTTCTGTATTTAGTTTTTCAAATGAACTCTTTTGAGTTAAGTAATATGCTATTCACTTATTTTTGTGTAAATATGTAAAATGTTTGGATTTCATTATATTGTTTCTTCATATTGTAATTTGTATAGTATGTAGAGTTCTGTTTTGCAACTGCTTTTCCTTTCTGTTAGGGTTGCCCAATTTTCTAGTTGGTTTATAAAGTCAAATTTCCATTGAGTTCATAAAATAGCCGGAATATTCTTCAAGTGATATACAAGTAAATTAGGTATAAACATTGTTTATATCTGTATTTAAAATAAAGACTATCTATACTAAGCAAGGATCGTAATTGTAACTGAATACTTCAAATTAATTAGGTAGAACAAGATTAAAAAAAAGAATCGAGAATGAGATTTCCTCCCTCACAATTTATAACACTCTGGTTCTTCTTTCTTCTTCTTTGATTTTTTCCCCTTAAAATATCAACTCTTACATGAAAAAGTTAGTAACAATCTTATAATGTCTTGATTGACCAAAATATCTGAGTAAGAAAGGAGAGGGTAATGATAGACTGTACAAGGAATTAAAGCAAACCTCAATTTTATTGTATAACCCTTCTATCCCTCGCTTCTTGTAATCTTGATAACATTTTGGGTACCCTTTCTAAAGATTTTTGTACTTGTATACCCTTTGTAGGTTATTCTCCTAAGAGCAGTTTTCTGTGAGCTTTTTAGCTTGGGGAGTGTTTTCCTTGTTCTTCTGTTTTATTTACTTTTTATACGTATCCAATGGCAAAAAGCTTTGATTCTTAAAAAAAAAAAACAGTATGGGGTACACAACCAAGTTAATGCCAGTGTTGATATTTAGCTAGGCTTCCTTTACAAAAACATACGGTAAAGAAAGGAGTTGATATATTTGGGTTACAGCTTATATTTTAGCTATCTGGGTTATTGTTCTCTTGTTTTGGGTAGTAATCTTTTCTCATTCTGCCTCTAATCAGCCTTGGCAATAGTGAAATAGGCATTTCACTTTTCCTCTTTTTCACTTCGACTATTCTTTACAATTTAAACGTGCAGAATGTGTACTCCTCGTGCCTAATACTTGTTTCTCCAGCAATGTTTGATTCTTTTCTAATAATGCAGTTTGATGTTGGTTCATCTATTTCATTTCACTCATATTTTTCAGAAGCAAACCTCAATCCTTTTAGACTGTACTGGCTTTTGAGTGTTTGGATATCTCTCTCCCTCTCTATTTCCAAAACTGTGGCCTGTCACATGGTTTATCCTTTAATTGTGACCATAATGTGTTTCATCATTATTACTTGACATGTGAAGACCAAGGAGTTCGAGCTTATACGCCCCCTAAAGACGGAAAGCAGTCCAAAATCTGATACACCAGAGGGATACCAAATTTTATTAGCATTGTCAGGATTGAGGCAGGCTTTGACAAATAACCCTGGATATAATCACCGTGTTGCAGAGTGTCAAGAGGCTGCAAAAATTCTTCTGAAGTAAGATTTACACCCTTCTTGCAGATTGGACCTCCTCCCTATTTGAATGGGTTTTAAAAATACTGATTTCTTTATATCAGAACATCTTCCTTCTGTGTTTTAGGGCCATTTCGCATTTGAGGTTTTAAGTTTTAGTACATCATGAAATTATGAATTTTAGCCTGTAATGCTTGAAGTTGAGATAGGAAATAGTACTATCACAAAAAATATCTTTTTGAGTCACTATTTCAAGTGTCTTGAAAAATTCATTTATATAATAGGAGAAACTTTTAGTACGATAGATGAAGTTAAAGTGGGACAAATAAAATGGGCTGCTTGCATTATTTCAAGCAACTTTTTTTCACTGAGTTAAAAAGGCGAGTTTATGGGGTGGTCTCACTGTTGTAATGACAATATACATAGAGAATCAGATAATCGAGTACAAGGTTGCACTGGAAAACTGATCTTAAGATGAGTCTGTGGGAACATTGGACGGAGGAGATAGGAAGTGAAATATATTTTTGCAAGGGAATCGTATACCTACAAAGGAGAAGCTAGAGGACCTTTCCGAAAAGGCTCTTGGATTCGGGAAACACTTGTGAATTCCTTACCATGCATGATAGATGACCTCTGGTCCTATAGACATGTATAACCCGGTCTACATTTCATCGAGACAAAAATCTGAAATGTAAATGTATAAAGGGTTTCTCTTCTATCTTCTTTCACGTTAAATGAGTATTATATGATGAAATCTGTTCCTTTTAAAGGGGCAAATTGGATTTATTACTCTTCCTTTTCATTCTATAGCGCGTCTGGCAATTGTGATGTAGAGCCACTCCTTTGTAACGGCGAGTATTTCTGCAGACCTTTTGAAGTTTTATTTTTTGTTTTGATTATTTTTAAATCCTCGTTTGATGATTTTGATTCTTATTTCCTTTCTGAATTTTCTCTTCTTATCAGTTGAGCCGGAAGTTTACGAAGCTCATAAGGTAATGTCATTTTAATATTAATGTCAAAGATAACTGGTTTTGTTAACTACCTACCTTACAACCAGAATTTTTGCTTTTGTGAATGTTTGTATGATTAATTGGGATTTATGTTCTAGTCAATTAGTAAGCTTCAAAGTTATGCATGTCATTATGCCATACAAGTTTTTAATTGATTTATTAATGCATTGTTGTTCAATTTGGTCAGCCTGGATTTGCCTATGTTACCAACTGTGAAAATCTGAAAAATTGAATTAATGAACGCATATATGGCACCCATCTTGTAGAACTAACAAGGAAATGATTGTCTTTAAAATCTAATTGTTGAAGGCGATGAGATCAGGGGAAAAAGCAGAAAAATATCATTGTGTTAGACGTTATGCTTTTTTGGGAAACTTGGCTTCAAGATTGTAGGATTAGCTTATCTGGTGCACTCTCCTTGGTTCCGTTTATTAACTTGGCTTCAATATTAGATTATAGATGTTATGGAAGAGATGAAGTTAGAAACACTTGTCAACTATCTCCTTGATTCTGTTAATAAGACTTCAAGCATTTCTCTCTATATTCTACATTATGAGATAAAATGCATAAATGAAGAATAGGTCTTCTAATATCAGAGTTTGAGGTTAAAACCATAACGTAGTACTGCCTGAAGTCCGTACTCTACTGCTTCAATCACTTATTTTGTTACAAAACTTCGATTATTTTTCATTGTTTTTTCTGCCATATAAATTCAGCCCCGACCACCAGATTCTTTTAGTTCCATTTATTTACATAGTCCTATTCCAGCAAGTCTAAATGGCTACTATAAGATTGCTTTGATTTTTGTGTATTCGGGTATTGAATCAATGTTTTGTTTGATGGAAAAAAATTCTGGATTGCCCATTTAGTTGATGTTTTGTAGAAATGCAATGCCCAGTCAACTTCATTTCTTTTACTTGTTTATGGACTTTTTATTTTTCAGTTCATGTATTCCAATTTCCATCTATTCACTCAAGTCCACCAAATGGCAAATATCCTCCTTTGGACTTTGTTTTTGTAACTTCTTCATATATTTCACCTTGCTCGGGTTTTCCTCTACAGTCCATGTTAGAAACAAACTTGGCAAAAAGAGCAGAGCATTATTTCTCAGAAAACGCGCGGGTCTTACAAGGTACTCTTTCATAGACGTTATTGTTTGCAAAACCATTCTATGTTTCCTCTATACAAGTACCCGTTTTTTTTCTCAGTTGTAGCCATGTAGAGGACTTGAACAGCATTATAATATATTGGTCACTATAGGACTCGAAGCTTGGGCTTCAGGAAGGTTGGAAGAGTTTGGAAAGCTCATTGCGGCTTCTGGTCGAAGTTCAATTGTAAACTATGAATGTGGTATGACCTTAATTCCTTACGTCAAGAAACCTTCCTTGGGCATGCTATAATGTCTTCTCTTTCCTGCTCTACTGGGTACGGTATCTTAAATTTGTAGTTGAGTAAACAAGAAAAGACGCATTATTATGTCTTTTATGTCACAGCTATGTCTTTAGCTGTGCGTGAAAGTTCTAATTAGTGATGACTGCAAAGCTTTATCCGATGGTCACCTTCTTATTCCATTAACGCATATTTAATGAAATTACTCCATGATACTCCATTAAATACGTTGTTTTGTCTAACTGCTTTTAGTTATCAAATATGGATTGTTTCTTCAATGCTTTGCATCATGAGGATCACTAGGCTAGTTATACTTCCAGCTCGTTGGTTTGAATAATTTTTCAGATTTTCCTATTAGACTTGGAATACTGAATGATACTGATTCCATAGTTTCTTCATTCGAATTGCACAACACAACTTCTGAATGAAATTGTTGCTGCAGTACTTTATTGCTTAGATTTACTTTTTGCTGAGAAACCATGTCACAAAACAACCAATAAGTTATAACATTATATATGATTTTCATGTAGGTTCCGAGCCACTAGTTCAACTATACGAGATCCTCTTGAGAGCACCTGGAGTATATGGAGCGCGGTTCAGCGGTGCTGGATTTAGAGGTTGCTGTCTCGCTTTCGTAGACGCCGACCGTGCTGCTGAAGCTGCAGAATTCGTGCGGACAGAGTATCTCAAGGTGCAGCCGGAGTTGGCAGGACAGCTAAACCCAGAAACAGCCGTGTGTATATGTGAGCCAGGTGATTGTGCTCATATCATTTGAGTACCTGCTACAGACTACTTCTCCAGTATCAATTGGTTTCATTCTTTCCATACATTTTGGTCACTTCTTGTTTGTTTTGTATCTCTGTCGCTCTATATCATGATTCATGACATCTCACATACAATGATGGGGCATCTTGTGTATACCTTTTTTTAACGTTGTACTGTACATGTAATATTCTTTTACCAATACAAGTGCATACTTGTAAATGCACTTTATTAGAAGAGAAAGGCTAAATTACAAAAAAAATAAAATAAAATAAAATTGTGAGCTTTGTCATTTGTTTAAAAAATCTCTCTTTCAAAATTTTCAGTACTATCCTTGATCTTTATAAACGTCTCAAAATACTCTTTTGAGCAAACATCTGTTGATATTTTGAATCAAAAAGTTAGACAAAAAGTTTATTCCTCTAATGTCAAGAGAGTTTGTTTGTCCATTGTCTACTCAATTTTGTCATAATCCCTCATTTTGTTTCTTCCATATTTTCTCTCTTTTTAATTGTCACATCATCCCATATATTATTACGCCAACTTTCCGTTTAAAATATTAACAAATGTTTGCTCAAAAAATAGTTTAAAAACATATATGAAAGAGAAGGGGAGTATTGAAACTTTTGAAATGGTTTGAACATTTTTGAATCAAAAGGCAAAGTTTCAAGAGTTTTTTTTTTTTTTTTCTTTTTTGTTGTTGTTGTAATTTAGCCTTAAAGAAATATATGGACAACAGTATATGAAGCAGGAGTGGAGGATACCAGGATTTGGATGATCTGCCAGTGTCCACTGCCGCAGAAAGATTCCATCTACATTGAAAATTTTGGTGCAAAGGACAGAATTACTACAATAAACTGGTAAGTCTGTGTTTTCAGATACGCTAATAGTAGACAAAATTTTGGTTGATCCATAATATCTCTGTTGGTGTGAAATATTTTTAGGTCCAAGTCTAAAGATTTGATATATGGTGGGTTAAGATTTGATATATGACTTATTTTCGGGAGAAAGTTAAGAGGCAAAAAGGGTACTGGAAAAGATGGGACAGAAAGTTGAGAATCTCTATTTGGATTTTGGCGTGAAATTTGATTGTTCTGTAAAATCAATTTAAACATTTCTGAACCAGCCTTGGAATTGGTGATGCATCCCTGTTTTAGCACTAAAGATTTTGCCTCTCATCATTAACTATATAGAATTTCGTTTCCAAAAAATTGTGGTTCATATCCATCCATATCCCATCACTTGATTATGTGTACGAAACTTGTCTGTTGAGAGATGAGATGACACCAAATTCTCAACTAAATGGATAATGTTTAGTTTCATTTGAAAGATGATTATAGATTCTTAGCTAAATTATACTTCTGTTTTGGGGTAGAGTTTTTGATTCATAAATGATTTCAATTGATTTGAGTTATTGCGTCTGATAGCAACGCTAGTAAAAATGACAGAAATTGTCTTGTAGTGGGTTTATCTCATATATATATATGTATTAAATTGCTATTAATAAATGTGATTCTATTACATTTATTATTATTATTCTTTCTTGTTAGGATTTAGGATTTAGGATTTTATTTCTTTATTAAAAGGAGAAATTACAGTGGGTCTACTGTTTAGGATTTAAGATTTTGTTTATTAAAATGAATACGTCATTTTTAGATGAGCTTAGTTTTTATTTTGACAAGTCTGTAAATTATTAACATTTTAAGTTATTTATGTAATTACATTATTTAAAGAGTCTATATTTGTACTTATCATTGAGCTAATATGAAAATTGCTCTACAGTTTTTTTTTTTCTTGAGGTTAGTCCGTTAGTGATTCAAATCCTCATGTCCTACGTTTATTTATTAGAAGTTAGATCATGCTATTTTTTTTTCCCTAAAAATTTTGCTTCCTCCGCTCTATCTTTCTCAACCAACACTTGCCGAGTCTTCTCTCATACCCCACAACGTATAAGACCTGAATTATCACATTTTCTCTTTTTTTTTTTTGGTTCTCTTCTAAAATCCATGGATTCAAGTCTCCTCAATAGAGGAATTTTTTTTTTAAACTAAATGTATAGTATTTTTCCTAAACTATACCATTTGATCTTAAGGTTGTTCCTCTATTGACTGTTGTATTTCTCTTGAGTTGCAATCAAATGGTGAAAATCAAGGGTCAAACTTACATTATATTACCTAAAAAGAAAAAAGTTGCCATCTTCTAACACAATTACAAGTAATGAAGTGAAATCTTTGGGTAACTATGATAATTTCCAAGCTCTACCACCATGCATACTAAAACTTTTCAATCTTCCAAAGATCATGACGAGAATGAGAATAAATTTTCCCTTTCCACTCCATCTTCCAACAAATCCATACCATGCATCTTTACAAGAGCCATCAGCTTTAAGCTGTCTTTTACAACTATAGCCAGTTGAGAAGCCAACATTACCATATGCACTGCAAGATCAGGGTGAACAAAAACAAAACGTCATTATTCTACTGCGAAAAATTCGATCAATCCAACTCAAATCGTAAATGAATACTATCTCGCGAGTCAAACACTACACGATTTAATTTGGTTATTTGGGTTGAAAAGTTGAAACTTTAATGGTCGCATTTAATCCAAAACATCTTTTAATTCATCGCATAACGTAGATCAATTAAAAACAAGATGAAATCAATGAGTAAGAAAATGATTGACTTGAAACTTACCTGATGACTTCTAGGGTAATGTTGAGCACAGTAAAGTTGAGAGGATCATCTCTCAGCTGTTGTTTCTCTGTGATACATATGAGAATGATGAAGATGGCCAAATAAGAGAGCTGTGAGAATTTCAAGAATCCCACTAAGTGTTGCCTTTTGCCCTTCCCATTTCCCACTGAATCCATCTCTTTATTCTTCATAGGTAAAAAAGTTGTGTATGGGGGGAGATACCTAAAGAAAACCAAAAAAAAAAAAAAAAAAAAATCTAACATTATACTATATATTTTTTTAATCGAATGACGTGTGAAGGTGGAGATTCATACCCGTGACTTGCATAAACTAATTGAGCTAGGTTGATTTGATTTGGTACTTGATTCAAAATCAAGCCGGTTGAGAAAAAGAAATTTCAACCCGAATTGTCATTTTCAATACCATATACCCAATATCTCTCTATACCAATCAAAATTTTGCAAGTGAGAGTTTTATTCTAAAATTCTTATCTATTTTAATTACCAACATGTCTTGGCTGCATCTTACTTACCTAATTATTCTCACATCAATCTTTATTGCATATATCATTCCACAAAATTTCAGGCCAATAACATTATTGCAACATTAAGGTAGTGGAATAGGAATAAATATCTCCAACTTTAATAAATGTGATAGTTGTCAGATTTTTTTTTCCTTAGAATAAATAATATGATAGATGCGTTATAGATAGCTCCATTTTGATAAAAAAGAATATACTTGGATGCTGGATTTAACACACAATAGTTACTTATAATTAACGAGAGCAATCATTATCTCAATAGTTTGAATTTCCCACTCTTTTATATACAAAAAGAAATAACAAGCATAATATACAAGAAAATAAAAAGCCAAACGTAATCATATTCTTAATTTTTAGGCCCTGTTTAGTTTAACATTTTGTCGAAATATTTTCAAAATTGTATAAATTTTTTGGAACAACATAATCGAGTTATTTGTTTGTTTCTTAAACCCATTTCTACAATTTTTCAAAATATAAATAAAAAATTATTTTATCATTGACTTATAAAATGCATAATAAATATTAAAAGATGAGAATGACAATTACTTTACCTATAAAGTTTTTACTTTTTGAAATTAAAATTTAACGATTATCTTCTTTTTCAATAAAAAAACATAAAATTACATTCCAAATTTATTTATGTTTTTTTTTTTACCAAAAATGAAAAAATGAGAAACATGAACGGTAAATCACCGCTTCTCAAACTCTCGACTAATTCTATCATTGAGGCCATCAGTAGACAATAATTCCTCTCGTTATCAAATGTGTCCTAAATCTATACATCATTATGTAGAAAAACTTTTAGTAGATCAATAAATGCCAACTTGAGGTCAAATCATACATAACTCAACTCGTTAAGGCATAGATTCAAATCTCCAACTCCACGTGGCTCACGTATTGTTTAACTCAAAGGAAAAAAATCAATACACAATAAAGTTTATATATTTATTAAAGGAAAACCTTGGACCAAAAAAAGTGATTAATTTTTTATTTGTGATGCAGGCTGAAACTTATCATTACCTACTTTTTAAAACTAAAGCGTCTTCGGTATAATTTTTTTTTTCTTAATTAAAACATAATATACAATATATATATATATATATATATAAGCGAATCCATAAAAATAAAAAACTCACATCATGACAACGAAGAGCACCAAGATCGCCGGCGAGATGACGGAGATATCCACCACCGATTCTCCGGTGTGTCTAGAGTTGGTCACCTGAAAAAGCGCCGCCACCGTCTTCCGGTACGGATTCAGGCCATCCCACAATCCCTCCGAGTTCCATTCCAGCGAGCAGAAGATTATCATCTGCAAAATTACGAACCCCGCCGCTGTTCCGGCCAGATACCGGCACCGAACCCCCGACAAGAGATGTGGATAACCCATCTCCGAGTAATTGTTCAATATGTATCTCAACTCCTTCTTCCCCGTCACCTTCGTCATCCCCGATATCACTAACCGGAGACCTGCCGGGTATAAACACCCGCCGAGGAGCACCTAATTAATGATATTAAAATAACTGAGATTTTGAGTCTCGTGGTAATTTAATATATATCTTAAGATGTTAATTTTAATTTAATTGGTTAAATTACAGATTTAATATTTATCCCTTGATTTTAGCCCTATATTTTGTCTAAATTGTCTCTTATTTTACTCTCTTATAATCTCTGAGGAAATAATGTCTTAAAGGTGAAACATGTCGGTTAGACTACAGAGATTCAATTAAAATTTTTATAATTATAAGGATTAAAATGAGACTTTTGAATCCATAAAGATCAAATTAAAACGTTAAATACAACAAAATAAGGTTAATTAGAGCCACACTTAGTAACTATTTTCTTCTTTTTTTTTGTTTTTTGTTTTCTAAAACACATGTATAAAGAATTATTTTATCATTTCTTTTCCATGGAATGCATAATAAATATAAAAAAATATAACATAAAAAATTTACATATTTTAATTTAAAAATTAATTTCATATAAAATTCTGACTTTTTATAATTAAAATTTTCAGATAACAAAAAAACAAGCGGTAGTTATCATGTTTCTATTTTCTTTTCAATAAAATATAAAGAACAAGAAACAAAAAACATTTATACAAGGAATATTTTTTTCTTAGAAAAAAAGAACGGTATCAAATAGATTCTTAGAAGCTTCCTCTTAACTCTTCTTATTCTAAGAAGTTATAAAAAAAAAAAAAAACTCATTTTGAAGTTTTTCCTTTGACTTCTTTAATTTAAAAAAAATTAAAAAAATCACACGTACAAAGAGTTAGATCTGAAAATTTAGCCCCTCCCGTCGTGAAACTCACACTATAGAGAATCAATTAATTCATAATTATTCAACGTTTTAATACCAATTAAAATCATTAAAAACATTAATTGTAATACTATCTAGTCTAATGTACCTGGGCGACGAGAGCCAGTAAAATTCCAGAACTGTCCTTAAAGACGATCATATTTTCATTAGTGGGTATGAATCCGCAGTTGGTAAAAGTGGAAACCGTGGTGAAAATTGAAAACGTCACCAAATTGATGCCCTTGCTCTCGAGCACGTGCCTCGCACGTGAAACCAGAGTCACGTACAAGAACACGAACAGAGAACCAATCAGATTCGCCGCCAGAAGATATCCCACCACCACGCGCCCCAGAAGCGCCGTGGATTTTTCGTGATTAACGAACTCGTCAGTAACCGTCATGGACCGGCCATGGCCAATTTCCAACTCCGAGTCGATGGACCGTGCCGGTCCGGTCGGATTTTTAACGGAGCTGGAGAACCGGCGGGAGAGGTGGAAGGCGGCGGCGGAGACGAAGACCTCGCCGCCGAGGAACATGAGGAGGGTGACGATGAGGAGCTGGGCGTTGGAGAAGACTTCCATTTCGACGGTGGACATGCTCGAGACGGTGGCGGCGGAGACGGCGGTGAAGAAGAAGTTGAGGTGGTTTGGTGGGGAGGAGGTTCTGGTTCTGGTCACCTTTAGAGCTCCGAAGCCCAAGAGAGAGAGGGTTAAGAAATGGGAGAGGGCGGGCCAGAAGGGGTTCGCGGCGGCCATCAGCAGCGGCTGAGATCGGAGGAGATCGAGTAAGTTCAACATCGACATTCCGGCCGGCGAGATCAAGATTCAGTTCATGGTGAAGAAGGAGAGTGGAGTGGAGGGTTTAAAAAGAGGTGGGAATTTTGCATTGTGAGATTTTGTTTTGGAGATAGAGAGAGGAAAATGGTTTAGTGGTTGGAGCAATTAGAGTGGATTTTTTTTCCTTTTCTGTTTTTTTGAAACACTTTTTTCTTTTTTGCACTTGTTGTTGTTGGATGATATATTGCGTGTAAAATGTTTTTTTGGATTGAGTGGAACTCTTGATTAAATGAATTAAAATGTGCTATTCCGCTATTCTTTGGTGTGGTAGTTGATTGAGGGGAAGTCTCAGCTTAATAAAAAAATGGTGATTCACTCACTCCAAATTGACACTATAATTGGTTATTGATCCATCGGTACGTGGTATAGAATTTTTTATGAAATTTATGTATGTTCGTTCAATATTTGTTATGAGTGTGGAAAAACTTTGTTAATTTAAAAATAAAGTCATTGAGTTGTATCAATGGATTTTTCTTATCTTTTAATTTAGAACGGTTTGTTTTGTAATAATCTTGAATTTTATAAAATAGAGACCAGTGTGATTCGATCCATATATGCATGTTTAACAATAATTATAGGATATTAAATATTTGATCTCGGCATCTCGAGAGCTTTTGATGCTCAAAAGATATTCATTCACGCAGGATTCTTTTAAGATTTTTATGTTGAGGGGTATTTATTACATTGTTTTTAGACTTAAATAATCCTCCCCATAAAAATCTTAGAAAATTTGAAATATATGGTAATTTTTGGAAATATCAAATTTAAAATTTTCCAATTTTGAAAAGAAAACAAAATGAGAAATAGAGTAGAAAGAGATGAAATAACATTTGAGACGAAGATTTGAATTTACTCCATTTTAATTGGAAATATATATCTTTAAGGGTAAGGAAAAATTTTCGAGCTGCACTAACATCTGTCGGTTGGTTTGATAAATGATTTGATTGGAATTATTTTTGTAAAAGTCAGAACTGACTCGTTAGTCGAATGTTATTTTTTATCGAAACCAACCTAATTTAATTCTCTTTTTAAAAAAGTATTGTACATAATATTAAATATATGCTAGCTTCTTTTGGGTTTCTCAAGCTAAACGCAACCAAATCGATGAAAAGACAAAATTGAAAAACTGAACCCAACCAACCAGAAAAATGGTTTGGCAGTCTCACGGTTCGGTTAGGTTCATTGATATATTCAACTGCATTTCGACTCGACTTCAATTTGGATGTTCAAAACTGACCCACCCCAAAACCGAATCGAACCGCTTATATATAACTATATATTATATATTATATTTTTAATATAATATAGTAAAAGAGTAGCATGGGACGTGGCCTTGGCCCATGCTCGAAATTCTAAAGAAATGGTTAATGCAATCATGAAGTGGCTACAGTATGCGGTAGATAAGTAACACAGCCTTTAATTTATTATTATTTTTCTTTTTTTCCGAAATGAATGGGCAACTACAACATTTAATTCAAATTTTGAAATTGAGAAATTGAATGGACAGCTCACAAACATTTTATTTTTCTTTTAGTTTTATTATTTTAACTAATTAGATTGGATTTCTTTCTCTTAATGTTCTTCCTTCTTTCTCGACTATTCTCCTCTTCCATTCTCCATTCATTTCCTTAGTTTTTTTCCCTCCCTTCATTTCCTTCCCTATTTCCTCTCACCTTTGTAGTTGCAATTTTAACTTCAATGGGAGAATGATTGATAATTTATATTCTTCCGAGTGGTCAAGCCAACAGAAGCAAGCCTAGTTCAGGAACCGCAAAAATCGAACCGAACCAAGGTTCGATTCGGCGTATGAGTTGCATGTGTGAGATTTGTAACTTTTTTTAAAGATTTCGATAATACAATCTTAAAATCGAACCGAACCAACACCTATACTTTCTCTTCCTCTACCTCTGTTCTCCTCTTCCCTTCTCTTTTTTCTTCCTCTCTCCCAGACTCTCACTTCTTCGTTTTTAAATTGACCAAAATCAATTGACCGCGGCCAGTGTAGTCGGCCAATTGAAGTTGTAGAGCCTCTTAAACTGACCAGTTTCGACCAACAGAAGCCGATTTGTTGATTATCGATGTTGGTTCGAGTAAAAAATAGTCTTCAACCGAACAATATGCTCACTCCAGCGCTATTATGTTTTAACCTGTTGAACTATGTTCAACTTATAAGTGGGCAAAATAGTATTTAAAAATAGAAATTTGAACTTTTTTTTTTTATTTTTGTTATTATTTTTTTTTCTTGAATTTGATTATCTAAATCTGCTCTCCCTCTCTCTCAAAGTGTATATATAGTGCGGAATAACGTAAATGGAATGGACAACACCAAATTGGACTAAATAAACAAAAATTTGTCTTTTCCCACAATTTTTTTTTTCCTTTTTTTTTGACAGAGACTTTTCCCACGCTTCAAATTCCATTAAATAATTTTCTCATCAAATACTACGATCTTCCTATCCAGACAAATCTCAATACATGAGAGAGTTTTTAACTCAAGTGTGGGATTAGAGATCGAAATGCAGCTATTTTATCCATTGAATTATATATATTGTGCAGTAAAAAAAGTGAATTTCATGAAGATTACATAAAGAAATTATTATTAAGATAAATTTTGCCTCTCTCATCTCTTCACAATAACGTCATATTATTCATATATTAATAAAACTACTATTATTTACTTTTATAATTGATTTGAAATTATATATGTGCACAATATTAATTTCACATGTCACGATATGAGAAACAATATATAAGAAATCCTATTTCAACTATACATAGTAATTAATTGAAGTAATTAACGGAATTAATCATGTCTAATTAATATGTGTGAGTAAAGATTGGAACTCACAATTTTTTTATTAGAGATATATCTTCTATTTATGGAAACACATTTTTAATTTCCTAAAATATCATTACCCATGATATGGATTAACAAACCTTTCTGGATATCAATGAGTTTAGCTATAATGATAATGAATGAAATTCCAAGTCAAAAAAACTACAGTACACAAATTTCCACTATCATAATTATTGTACAAACCGCGCACACACATGTATGTGTATATCATTACAACATGAAAGTGCACGGACTTTAACTTTATTAATTTGAAATTACATGAACTAAATCATTATAAACTAAAGTTTAGGAAATAAATCGTTACTTTAACGATGAAATGCAATATTATGCATGCCAAATGAAAAGTATATATGCATGGACTAAGTTGTGATTCTTTGAAATTTTGTGGCTATGGTTTATTTTTAAGTTTAAATACTATTTTGATTTTTCTACCCTTGACTAATTTGGTTCATTTTGGTCACTATACTTCTAAAATGTTAACTATTTTTTGTTCATGTATTGTCAACTTTTGTCCAGTTTAATCTCTGTACTTTCAAAACATTCCTTTTGGTTCCTATAATTTAAAAAAGTAACTAATTTGGTTCTTATTTGAAAATTTTTAACACAAATTTTATACACAATATAGACCCTTTAATACAAATTTATTGCTACATTTCAAGAAATTTAGCGAGTGAAGTGTCATGCTATAACATTATGATAAAAAGAATCTGATACAAATAAGTGAAAGGACCAAAATTGTTACATTTTAAAATTACACGGATCAAAATGGACTTTTAAAAACTATTACAAGGACTAAATTAAACTTAAGTTGAAAGTGTACTCGAGGGATAACGCTTGGGTGGTTTAAGGTCTCAATGAATATCTTTAAGGTTCTGAATTCAAGCCAAATATAACTTTTTTTTAACATGAAGGTTATAATCCAATCACAAAAAATTTTTAGGATAAAAAATACCAATTTTTCGTCTAAAATAAATATTTTAAAAGTACTTAAACTAAAAATACAAGTACTGCAAATAGTATTTTAACCCTATCATATTTACATTTAAATTAATAAAATTAGAGGATTTAAGGTTAAATATGATAAAAGTAAAAAAAAAAAAAAAGAAATTATATTCCCATAAAAAAGGGAAGCATTTTGTGTGTACAAAAGACAATTCCTTGATCACTTAAATGGATCCAAAGACCATTAACTAATAATTAAATAAAGAGAATCATGGCTCCATGCAACCTATGCCACAAGTTTATTATTATTATTTTAAATAAAGAGTCTAAGCCACAAATTATCAAATTAAAGCATAATAACAATTGCATATATTATATATAATTGTAATCTATTATATGGTCCCATTGCCAACTTCTTAGCACACCAAAAATTATACCAAATGCCATTCATTACCAAAAGTTGGTGCTAGATAATTTATTTTTTTATTTTATATATTGGTAAATTGGTCCATTCATGAACAACTCAACTAATTTTATAGAACAATTCGTCACTAATCCTATATCCAACTAGTTACCAACAAATTGACATTATTTCAAAAGGGTGAATTGACTAATTTTATGAAACAGCCATTCCTAATTAACTCTACTATATTTTTCTTTGGTTATTAACCATTATTATTGAAACTGGTAAAACATATTTCTTAAAGCAGGTGTGTTCGAAGGTAAAATACAGTATGCCACATGGACCAAAGACATGTCCACAATCGATCTAATGGCACTAAATCTGAAGAATTTGGTGGACAACATTTATAATCCCAAATAAATTGAAGGTGCCTTAACTCGTCCCACCCGAGTTCATTGCGGGTAGGTTTTTTTGTATGACTCAATCGATTAATTAGCTATGAATCTTAGATCAGTCAAAAATCACTATTAACGATATCAATTCGGCATCGTCCTAGTTACACTTTTTTTTTTTTTTGCAACGCATACTAATTACATTTCAATCATTATATACACGCAAAAATATTATAATGTTAATACTTAATAACATTTGTTGCCAAAAGCAATTTCATTAATGTGCATGAACCCATCTCTCTCTTTTTGGATAAGATTTATTATTATTTTAAAATTGATGTTTAAATCTCTATTATTATTGAAATTAATATATATTATGTTACTAAAATAAAAAGCAAAAAAGATTTAAAAAGAAAAGTTTTGCATAAATATTATATTCTTAAAATAAAATAGTTAAAAACTTTTTGTTATATTTAATTTTTTTAATATTTAGTGACATCTCATATGTAAAAAAAAAGATTGTTATAGGCCAGGTTCAAAATTTCGCTCGACACGTGGCATGTCGACTTATCGATGTGTCGACGTGTCGATGTTCTCGACATGGACATGGGGAGAAAATCGTTTTTCCCCAATGTCGTCGACATGTCGACATGTCGATCAAATGTCGATTTTTTTTTTGTGCATTGAATCCTAAATAATTGAGAAAATCTGGATCTATGGTGACGTTTTAGTTAGTTGAGACTTAGAGGAAGATTGGTTGTTTTTCAAGAAAGAATCTAGATCGAAAATTCTCAATCCAACCCTTAAAAAAAAAAGAAGGATTTATGTTCAAAACGTTTTTTCAGTTTGGTGTAAATTCAAAGTTTGTGGGAGAACAAACAGAAAAGTCAAAAATAATAGTAAAAAATTATACTGACGTTTTCTATTTTCCTTTTAAAGAAATTAAAGTTAAATTTTCTTATCATTTTGGTTCAAAAAAGAAAAAAAAACCAAACAAACGTCAAATTAAATTTAACTATAAAAATATAATAAAATCTTAAAGAAATAGATTAAACAATCGATTTATACAAAACTTAATTTAAATTAAATTTAACTAAAAAATCTAACAAAATCATAAAGTAATTCATTTAAAAGAAAATTAAATTTAATTGACAAAATCTTAAAACAAACAAATAATTAAAATCAATTTAATTAATTATTATTAAACATTTAAATTTTAGAAAAGTTTAATTCTTATCTTCTAATTCAAAATAAAATAAAATAAAATAAAATAAAATAAACTAAACTAAACGTCAAAAAAATCTAACAAAAAAATTAAATTTAACTAAAAAATCTAACAAAATCTTGAAGTAATTGATTTAAAAGAAAAATAAATTTTAAATTAAATTTAACTAACCCAATCTCAAAACAAACTAATAAATAAAATCAATTTAACTAATTATTATTAAACATTTAAATTTTAAACTAAATCTATTTTTTTAATTATTTCATACTTCATAGGGTATATATCTATGGTTCACATATGTTGTTCAATTATGTAACTAGATTGAATTAGAAATTATCAATAAAAAAGCAACATTAAATTTTAATTTACTGACTCAAATAATTTTCATATATGTAGACATGATTTTATTTCAACATTTTCATCGTGCGATGTTTTTATAAGTATATTACTTATATGGTTAGATATGATTGTTAGAAGTGATTAGTTATAGGCTAATTAAGCTGTATTATTTACTAATTTAAAAAATTTCCATCAATATCCTAATTTTTTCCGAAATATGCATCGACATCGACATATCCAGTAAAATCGAGACCTTGATATTTCCATTGACATCGACATTTTGAACCTTGGTTATAGGGAGAAAATAGAGATCAGACTAAATAACCGAAAAGAGGAAAGAGAGCCGAAGAAGGAGCGGACCCGAAGAGAGGTAAATGGGTCGAGGCCCAACAACTCGGGCCGACAATAGGCGACCCGGGGTTGGTGCCGAGGAGTTCTCAGCCCAGTGGCCGAGAACCTCTCCGATGCACCCCGACCCCTGCGCAGCCCGGTCGGAGTCGACTTGGTCTCGACCTTGAATGCAGCATGAAGCCCACCCCGTTTAAGATCTCCTGAGCACGTAAGGATTCAACTTATGTAAACCGATTAGGGTTCAACTGGTGTAAATCCAGAAGAGATTATGATTCGACCTCTATAAATACGAGAGTAAACTAAACCCTAGAGGTATGCCTAAAAAAACATACGCTCTCTATACCCGACTACTCCGATACTACTTAAGTATCGGAGCCCGTGTGGCAAAGCCACACCGGTTATTCTGTTTTACAAGTCTCATCGATATCCCTTAGTTCTAGAAGATTGGTGCGAATTTAACGAGATCCAAGGAAGTTGAATTCCGGCATCAACCAAAATAAAATCGTCATGAAAACTTTAAACCAGTCAAATTTGATTTCTTAGCTGAGTTATCATATATATATATAGGTTTATATAATTATATAAATATATATTTACATAGGAAAAGATACAGCCTTATTTTAATATTCATTTTTTTACCGGCCATCTGCTTTACAGATTTATTTTAAAGTAACTTTTTTAAAAAAATTAATAAATAACGACCAGTATCTTGAGACTTGCACTATGAGATGTAGACAGAAGAATTCAGGACAAAAATTTATAATATAACTAATAAGTCATTTATTCAACGATAGATTAGAGATAATGAGACAATTAGCACTTAATTAGGTTAATTATTATCTTGTACTAAAAAGAATTAATTATTTATCTCGTACAAAGTTGAAACGCTTATTATGCCTATTGAGTAGTTATGCACACATTTCACCATTTCAAGATGGTTATTATATTTTAATTCATAAAGGTGTAAGATTTGTTTTAGTTCATAAAATATAGGTTTAAATATAATTATAATCATTAAAGTTCACTCATATTTTTTAAAACAAAGCGTCATATCACATTTTTCGTTTGAAGTTTTAGCTACTATGATAATGGAATTTAAAAATAATTAATAAAACTTTTAGAAACTAAATTATTTTAAAACTATATCTTAATCGAAATTTTATAATACATACCTCAAATTATTAAATAGAGATTATATTATGATTTTGAAAGGAAGGTAAAATTTTAAAACTATATTTTAATCAAAAATTTATAATATATACCTCAAATTATTAAATTAGAGATTATATTATGATTTTAGAAAGAAGAGGGAGAATCACTTTTTTTTTTTGGAGAAATGAGAAGCACATTTAATATATTTGAATTTTATCTTTTTATTCATTTAGATGCGTGAGAATATATGAAGACCGGTTGGATCTAAATCCACATACATTATAGTTATAAATGGAATAAAGTAATGTGCTAGTTAAAAAACACACCTAATTTATCAAAAAAAAAAAGCCACAAAAACACACTAAAAAATAATGTTTTTTTTTTATTTTACCTAAATTTCAATATTTATGGTACATAATGTAACTATATTACGACGTTGATTTGAAGCAATCTATCATTGACTAATTTATTAAAAATCATATAGTTTTATCCTTAACTTTTAACCATTTATGGAACGTTGTAAATGAGTTCTCTCCAAAAATAATTAATTAAAATAGGAATAGGAGAATTGTTCGATCCAATATCTTTCTAGAAAGCCAATTCGAAGAAAGCTAGCTAGAGCAACTTCTAGAGTAAATTTTGACTATACTTGATGCTGGTAATTCTATATGAAATTTGTGTTAATTTTTTTTGGAGCAACTATCCTATATAAATTAAATAGTTATGCAATATATTTAATTTGACTCGTTGCCTAGATAACTTGCTTATATAATAGTCTATATAACAATCACGATACTGAACGACTGCACATTAACAATATGAGTATGTATATTTAGACGAAGATTAGTTTACCTCAAACCGACGTATAATATTACAAGTCATTTCATATATGGAGAGGGAAGACATTCTTTTCCCTGAATTTTATGGACAAACTATGTCCTGACTCATAAAATTAAAAATATGTTTTGTTGGATTATTTCTCACTAGTAAAATTATTTTCTAACATTACATTATCATTTAGTTAATACATTTTTATATCTAATATAATATAATCAACTGAGATTTAATTGAAAATACTTGATAGATAATAGATAAAATTAAAATTTTTTTAGAACTATTTATCTTTTTAGAAAGTTCAATTGTGTATTTGAATGTTAAATTATGGTTCTATTTAATCTCTTTTTTAATCTCTCATTAACAAAAAGTAAACGCATCAGCTAACTTAAGCTCATAAACTCAACTATTTTAGGTATTAATTATATGTTCAGTGCTCCAATCTTCACCCATAAATTTGTGTAATATAATATTTAGAAGAAAAAAAAAGAACGCTGAGTCCATGCCCATTGAATTAGAAGGATTAGATCTAAATTCCAAAAAATAATAAACACGTATTTGTTTTAAAAAAAAAATTGTTTATAAAAAATTGCATTATTGGTTTTGATCAGTCAATAAATATGCACCCAATAATGCACTAAAAAAAACTCTAAAATGAAGTTAATCGTTAATTATGGGCAGGCGGACGGTTAGAGTAGTTTGGTATGCAGTGGGGCCCCACATCACCAATCACTGCCATGTGACACCACCACGTGTCATCTTATAATTGGCTCCGTTCTAATCAACCAATTATAAATTAAAAAATTTTCATTAAATGATAGCGCAGTGGGAGGCGCCTAATCGAAGATTCTCGCTTAAATTCAAATTAATCAAATCATAAGGTATTGTATTGTATTGTATTGTCAAGTACTACGGATGATTGGGTTTGGTTTTATGCTATAAATAAATCTCATGTGATGTACTTTGGATTCCACCCTTCCTAATTACATTCTAGTTCCAAACAATGTTGAGGGTGGAGAGCTTGCTTTATTTTGGTAGGATATGGGGTCTAGCGTATTCTTATTCGGGTCGAAAACTGGTTTCTTTAGGTAAATCGGTGTGCTTTATTTTGGTATGCTTCTTTCGTTTTCTTCTTCTCATGAATCCATTTTGGATTCAACTCTTCTATTTTTTATTCATTTCGGCTTTTGGATTGTGGGTTTTGGCTGTTTTGAAGCCGAAAACTTACGATTCTTATCGACCTGCGAATTTGGATCTTTTATTCACCTCTGTGTCTGCCTCCACTGTTTCCAGCATGTCTAGTGTGGAAATGGAGGTTTTCTCTGATTCCCAACTCATTGTCTTGATTGTTTTGATGTTCGTGGGCGGCGAGGTTTTTACTTCCATGGTTGGAATCCAATTAAGGAAGTTGAAACTCAAACTTTCAGAAGATAAAATCACTTCTGTCCCTAGTGTTTTAAGTACTATTTCTTCAAACCCTCAAAATATTTTAAGTCAAATAGAGTTGGGCGTCGTTAGAAAACTTGATCACCAGCCCGAGAGGCAGCTAAAACACAACTCCATCAAACTTTTAGGTATCGTAGTACTCAGTTATCTTCTAACAATCCATCTTTTAGGCATAGGGATGGTCTTAGTTTACATGGAAACTGTCTCAAGTGCTAGAGAAGTCCTAAGCAAAAAGGGGTTAAAAACATCAACTTTTGCAATTTTCCTCACGGTTTCAACTTTTGCAAGCTGTGGCTTTGTGCCAACAAATGAAAACATGATAGTCTTTAGCAAGAATTTAGGCCTACTCGCAATGCTCATTCCTCAAGCTCTCTTAGGGAACACTTTGTTTCCTTGTTGCTTGAGGTTTTCCATTTGGAGTTTGGGAAAGTTTACGAAGAAGTCAGAAACCAGATTCTTGTTGAAAAATAGTGAGGAAATTGGGTACTTGCATCTGCTCCCAAGGCTTCATTCATTGCTTTTGGCTTCAACTGTGTTTGGATTTGTGTTGATACAATCTGTCGCAATTTGGTTCATGGAGTGGAGTTCAGAAGCATTGAGTGGATTGAATTCTATTGAGAAGTTGCTTGGAGTGCTATTTTTAAGCGTAAATTCAAGGCATAGCGGTGAATCTATTGTTGATCTCTCCATGCTCTCTCCTGCCATCTTGTTTCTCTTTGTTGCCATGATGTTAGTTCCCCTCTCTCTCTCCATTAAATGCATTCTATTTGTTTAGTATATATAGAAATATTAACTAAATGTATACTATAGTGTTTTTTTAGTACGATATATGGGGGTAAGATTCGAGCTCACGATCTTATAGTCGGAGATAGGTGCATATATAAACCAGTTGAACGCTATAGGACTGGTTTGGTAATATGTCATTTCTTGTTTCTTGTTTTCAAGTTTGTTAAAATGTCTAAGCATTTTTCAACGTTTTTTGTTTCTCATTCTTTAGAAACGTTCTCAAAATCGTATAGGAATTTTGAAAACAACACAAATAAATTTCCTATTTTTTGTTCTAGTTTTCAATTAACAAAGGGTAAATAAAACTGTTGTTCTATTCAAACAAAAAGGAAAAAAAAAATGAGAAGGTTACTAAACTGGTTGTTAGTATAGTCTCCAAAAGGTCAAATTTATACTATTTACTAGAAATTTCAATGATTCTTTTATCGAAAATTTACATTTTCTTTATGGAGAAAAAAAAGGTAGTAATACACTCGTCAATTTCTTGTGCTACTTAGCAAAAAAGAAAAAAGAAAAAAAAAAGAGTATTATTAGAATAAACTAATTAATAAGTTATGTCCCACATTTCCTTGTAATATATAAAAAATAGTTAGCAATCCTTAATAATTTTAACATTTTTTTAAGGATTACCTATGTCTGATTGGTGTCTAAAGAATTCCGGTGAACGAAAAAGGAAAAAATAAATAAAAGGTCTCAATTATATTTTATTTATTCGTAATTACTTGACTTATGTCATCCCTATTATTATATATACAAATAAAATAATAATAATAATTATTATTAATCATTCATAAGAACAAATATAGCATTAATTATCTCAATATGAACATCTTGACTAAGAGGTTATAAGTTCGAATCTTCCCTACTCATTTGTTAACATAATATTAATTATTTTTATTTTTATTTTGTTGTTGATATGGGTTAATTTAACAGGTATCTTCCACCTTATACATCTTTCATGCCAATAAAGGGTGATGGAGAAGAAGGAGAAAATCAATTGGAAGCCAATAAAATAATTAAAAAAAATAAAAGGGCCAAATTTGTGGATAATTTCATCTTCTCCCAAATTTCCTATCTGCTTATTTTCATCTTTGTTATATGCATTACAGAGAGACATAACATCAAGGAAGATCCTCTCAATTTCAATCTCTTCAACATTATTTTTGAAGTTATCAGGTAATTTTTATTCTTTACTAATTAATTTATAGTGAAAATAAATCTTAAAAAAATAATTTCCCTTTCCAATATATGACTTTTCATTTTTTTTCCCTTGTCTACTTAATGGTCATAATTCAAAAACCATAGGTGAATAATTGTAATATTAATTTTAAAACTAAAACGTTAAAGTATACGTCATAAATAAGATCTAAATATTGTTATATTCTCATAAAATTAAGATTATCATTTTGTACAAATGGTGGATTTTTTAATTCTCAAATTATGTATTGGAAAAAAAAAAGACTGTTCATAATTTTTCTTGGTCTAAATTAAATTTATGAAATATGTCTCTATTTCGACAGTGCATATGGAAATGTGGGGTTTACGATGGGATATAGCTGCAAACGACAACTTCATCCTCAAAGCAATTGTGTCGACAAGTCGTTTGGATTTTCAGGAAAGTGGAGCAGCAAAGGAAAGATAGTTCTTATTGTTGTTATGATCTTTGGACGACTCAAAAAATTCAATATGAACAGAGAGAGAGCTTGGAAACTTCTCTAATCTTTGACTCACATGGAATTAAAACATGTGATTTGTCATTACAATATTATAATTGGACATAATAATATCATCCAAATATTCAACTAAAAATCTATTTAATTTCCCGATCCACACTTTGAATAAAGAATACATCTATATCTAACATACAACTCAAGTCATTATTTATATCGACTGTAATAAATTAACGAACACATAAATATTGACTACTTAGTTTTATTATTTTTTCTTTTTTTAAGTTATCGAGAGTTACAAATACTTTTAACCTCCGATCTCAATGAAAGGATTGTCAATTACCACTGAGTTAGACTCAAGTTGGAATCTTAAAAACAGCCTAATAAATTTCTAAACTTTTAATTTTGTGTATTGTGTTTAATATGTCACTAAATTTCCAACTGCTTATTACATTTTTAAATTTTAAGGACTTATTAGACATAAACCTAAAAATATAGAGACTAGATTTGTAGTTTTTCCAGTACAATTAAACTTGTAATTTAATCCATTGTATTTTAGAAAAAAATATATCTAAGTTTGAAAATAAGCTCTTAGATTCGATGAACCAAATCATAGAATTTTTGGACTTTAAAGTTCACTAATTTGAGTTCAATTCTAATTCCTTAATCGTTTCTAAAGTCATTTTCAAAAAGTGTAAAAATATGGTTCATTAAATAACTTATAAAAGTTAATAGGATTCTAAAATAACTCTTCACAAATTTGTCACTAAGAAAAACATCATATACAAAAGAAGATAGACAAATCCCCGACTTGTTTTTCATTTGCACGGAGGTAATTGGATTAAATTGACGTTTTCATATTATCGTAGAGAAAATTAAAAAAAATATAAAAAAAAATCAACAAAATATCACTAATATAAACTAATATTAATAATTTTAAATTATTTAAAATAATGAAAGGTTCATTTATTAATTTAAATATCTCTTATAATTTTTCTAGAAATATTTATTGACATCGAAATTATATTGATATTTCGTTCAACATTATCATTCAAATTAAAACTTCGACATTTCTATCGATATTGAGGTTTAAAATTTTTAAACAACCAATTCAATGAATGAAGTTGGAAACAAAGTTGGAACTTTTTCTAATATCATTTTCCTTTTATTTGTTTAAGAAAATGCCTTTCATGACCCTAAATAAAAGTTTCAACCAACCAATCCATGATTTATAAATGCTAATACTTTGCACTCTTTATACCAAAAAAGAAAAAAGAAATCTCAAAAGCTCGCAGAAAACGATCAAAAGTTTGTTGCCAATGACAAGAAAATTTAGCATGCTTTCAAGTCTCGTCTATGTTTGACTTTCTTGTCAAGCATTTTGGATTCAACTATTTTATTTCATCTCCATCTCTTCTTTTGGATTTCTAATTTTGACGATATTAAAACCTAGAACGGATCCTTCTTTTCGACCCACAAATCTAGATTTGTTCTACACTTCAGTGTCTGCCTCCACTGTTTCGAGCATGTCCGCCATGAAAATGGAAGTTTTCTCCAATTCCCAACTCATTACCTTAACAATTCTCATGTTTCTAGGGGGAGAGATTTTCACTTCCATGGTTGGCCTCCACTTGAGAAAATTTAGCCACCCACACCCACAAATAACTTCAAAGCCGCCAATGGATTTAAAATTAAATGATTCTAATGAATCCTTGAGGCATAACTCAATCAACTTTCTCAGTTTTCATCACTGTTTCTACTTTGGCTAGCTGTGGTTATGTTCCAACAAATGAAAACATGGTTGTTTTTCGGAGAAATTCAGGTCTTCTTCTAATGCTGATCCCTCAAGTTTTAGTTGGCAACACGTTGTACCCATTTTTGTTGAGGATTTTGATTTGGGTAATTGGGAGGAAGAAAGAGATGAAATTGTGTGATTATTTGTTGAAGAACAGTGAGGAAATTGGGTACCTTCCGATCTTGAACATCTTGTTCAGGAATTAAAAGAGTGTCTATTTTGAAATATTAGGAACTAAATAGACATTTAATTCAAACATGAAAAAGTGTATTTTGCCTTTTTTTTTTTTTTAATAGGGTATATGAGTGTGACTTTTTCTTTAATGAGTTTTATTTTAAATTTTAAAATTTTTTGGTATATTTCTTAAAGGAATTTATTAGTATACTTAAAAATACATATTTGTTTTATTTTATTTAGGTAATTGACCCCTTAAACTTTGCATAACTAGCTATATAATGAAAGTTTTTTAAATATCAATAATGTTGATGAAAATAGTTATATCTCAATCTCATGGAAATGTTCCTAGAAATAACGATGAGATGTCAAGATATTTATGGGGAAGTTATAAAAATTATGAAATTCATAAAAAAAATATTTATTTATATTAACAAACACATATTTTAAAAGGTACATATATTTCAGGCTAAGAATAAAGATTATATATTTTTTTATTATAGTTCTTAATTAAAATCATCAATTTCATTAAAAAAATCTCTAATATTATTTTATAATTATCATATAATCATAATAAATTGATCATTTGGCATTCTAATATTCTATGACCCTACAAGAAGAATGACAATAAATAAATAAACCGAACCCATCTCCATTTCAAACAGTCAATAATTTCCATTCTAATTTAATTATGGTTTGGTCCCATTGATCAAAATTTTATATAAAATTTGTTTTTTTTTAATTTATGGTAATTAGTCCCATTGAAAATTACATGTATTATCTAAGTTTGAAGGGTTTTTTTATTTTTTTATTTTTTAATGAATTGAAATTAGGGTTTTGGATTTACAGCTATCTTCCTCCATATACATCTTTCCTTCCATTGAAAGACAAGGAGCGAGTAGAAGATGATGTTCATCTTCAACCTCTGCAAAAAATTACAAGAACCAGACATGAAAAGGCTCTGCAAAATTTCTTGCTCTCACACCTCTCCTATCTCACCATCTTCATCATTGTTATTTGTGTAATTGAGAGGAAAAATATGGTTGAGGATCCAATCAATTTCAGTGTTTTCAACATTTTGCTTGAAGTGATTAGGTAACCCTTTGATCATTGTCATATTCATCATTTTCTTTTTCTATTCCTCTTTGATCTCCCAAATTTGGCTTATATATTGATGTTTTTTCGTGTGAAGTTCGAAGAAAGAAATACGTTAAAACACTATTTTGGTCACTGTAATTTTAACTATGATTCATTTTGGTCCTTTATTTTCAAAATGTTTATTTTGGTATGTACCTTCAACTTTGATTTATTTTAGTCACTGTACTTTCAAAATATTCGTTTTTATCCTTATACTTTTAAAAAATAACTATTTTGATTTCTTAATTTTACTCTTAATCTCATTTTTTCTATCACAATTTCAACACGTGAAACTATACTCAATATATTTAATGAAATGTAATACTAACTTTATATTAAAATTTGTGTAAAAAGTTTGAAAATAGGGATACAAATAGTCATTTTTTGAAAGTACAGAAACCAAAATGAATATTTTGAAAATATAAAGACTAAAAATGAACCAAAGCTAAAAGTATAAAGACCAAAATAATATTTTAACCACAAAAATAATATAACAAGAGTTAAATTTTGCGACAACTACATTTGACCTAAACAAATAAATTGTGAAAAAAAAAAAACTTCTAAACATCTATCTATATATATGTGCTTCTTTTTATATAATTTTTTATTTTAAAAATTAACTTTTTTTTTCTTTTATCTATGTGGCAGTGCTTACGGAAATGTAGGATTTACGACGGGTTATAGTTGCAAACGACAACTCCATCCCCAAAACGACTGTGTCGACAAATGGTATGGATTTTCGGGAAAATAGCACTAATTTTGGTCATGATTTTTGGAAGACTCAAGAAATTTAACATGAATGGTGGAAAAGCTTGGAAGCTTCTTTAATCCTTTTTTATGGTGATAATTTGATTGGTTAATTTTGATACTTACTCTATTTTGATATTTATAAATACATAAATACTCTACCTTCCCAGAATTAAATGATATTTAACTTGAGTTGTTTAGAGATCTTGTTTATTAATTTAATTTGCTACATTATAATATAATAAAGTTCAAAATCATAGAAATAAATTAAATATAAATATGAACAAGATTAAAGTAAACTAACGTTAATAACTAATTATAACTTCAATCAATATTTTGAGTCCAATCTTTAATTATGTAAACTAATACACACGCATTAATAAATAGTTAGCTACTATAATTTATCTCTAGATTATAGATTAAGTAAATCAAAAGTTATTCAAAATAAAAGATAAAATAGCTAATTAATATATACTTTTTATACTAAATGTATCACACTCGGTCTCTAATTTTTTGTATATGTTTTAAATTTTTATTTTATTTTTAATATAACAAATTGAAGACGGAGAATTAAACCTGAGAGCCATAAAAGAAGTAAAACATCTTAGTCATTGAATTATTGACAAACTTTTATCTCTTATACTTTTAAAGTTTCAATTTCATTATTTATCTATAAAGTTTTCAATGCCGTTTCTTTCCGAAGATAAAAATATTACCGTTACTGGACAATCAAATTGATTAATTAAATTTTTTTTTTTGAGGAAAAATTGATTAATTTATTTTATCCTTCATTTGGAAAAATATTCTTTTAGATCTTCATTTGTCGGTACAAAAGAGAGAATTTTCCTTTTCATAGGAGAGAGGGAAAGATTTGTCATTGAAATTAGGCAAAAAGTTTGAAAAGAAATATATGATAATAATAAATATTGAAAATATCAATAATACGAGACTTCTCATTCCCATTTCATGAAAGAAAGAAAAACGGTAAAATACTATCTTGGCTCTTTCACTTTTACAACTAATTCTTTTTTTTTTTTATAGTAAAACATATTGGAGAGAGGATTCGAATTCACGATCTATTGGTTTGAAATATATGCCGCTATGTTCGTTTTAGCTTATAACTTATTCTATTTGAGATAGTATACTAAGTCCAATTCATACTTATAATAAATTTTAAAAGTAATTATGCTTCAAAAGAAAGAAAAAAAAACTTAAAAATAGTTCCTACCTTAATTTTAGGTTTAATTTCCATCTGTCAGCTTGGTAAAATAATAATCTTTAGCTACCTACATGAGCAACTCAACAACGAGTTGATTTGATAATGATCGAATGACATTATTTCTTCAGTCTGTTGAGACACCTATACCTTCCTTATCATTTTAAAAGGAAAAGGATGGCAGAGACTATTTTTTTTTAAGACTTATGTCTAAAAGTTTTTAAATTTTTAAAAAGTGTCAATAGATTAATAAACGGTAAAAAGTGTATAATTAGACTTTCAATATTACGTCAAACCGACGTATTAAATATGTAATTGACTGTTAAATAAATCTATTAGAATATTTTTTTTAATTACCTATTAAACACGATGTTGGGATAGTGAAGGTTCAAGTATAACAAATAATATTATGGTATGGAAATTTCAACCTCTATTTCAACGAGTAGATGTCATTTATGGTTTGACAACCTTTATAATTTGACTTAAAAAAAGTTAAAATACTACTTTAGTCCGTGTAATTTTGACTTTTATTTACTTTATTTTAAACTTTATTTTAGTTGATGTCAAAGCTTCCGTTTTAATCATTGTACTTTTAAAAAAGCAACTAGTTTGTAAAATTTTATATACAATGAAATTTTTTTAATAAAAACTTGATGGCTACCTTTCAAAAAATTTAATGAATGAACTATCGTATTAAAAATTATGAACGAACAAAATGAGATAAAAGTGAAAATGAATGGATCCAAATAGCATAAACATAACTCACCCATTAAGGCACTCAAATTCGACCTTTGTGAGTTGGAATCTCGACCCTAATAGGGAAAAAAAAAGAACAAAATAGTGTTCGAAGAATTAAAAAAACACATTTGTTCACGAGGGGAGAGGGAGAGCCACCAACGCCACGATTACCCACATTCACCAATTCAGCCAATTTGGCAAACGTTGCCAAAAAACTAATGTCACGAGTCACTACAAGACAAGCACAGCCCCCTCTCCTCTCTTCTCGCTCAATCAATCTCTTACAAAACACCCACAAAACTTTCTTCAACCAAATACCAAAATCTTTAATTTGTTTCGAACTTGGGAAAAACAATGAGTCGATTTCAGGCCTTGTTGAAACTGCTTCTTCTTCTCTCTTCTTCTCTGCTCTGCCTCTCTGTGCCTGCCCGAGCCCTCAACATCGGCGTTCAGGCCATCGACGCCTCCATTTCTCTGGTTTGTTTCAAATAAATTTACCTTCCATCTTCTTCTTCTTCTTCTCTCTTTCTTTGTTTCTGGGTTTACTCTGTTTGCTTTCACTTGTAGAGCAAAGATTGCAGTAGGAAATGCGAGTCAGAGTTCTGTTCAGGTTCTCAATCTCTCTCTCCGTCTATGTGTTTGTGTTTGCCTTTTCAAGTTCATTGCATATTTACGGGTGAATGGAAGATTATTAACAATACTTTCTCATAACATATAACAAGTTTTTGGGTACTTAGAACAGAAGTTTGACAATTAGATTTGTTTTTAGGTTCAATTAGTAGTTTGACATCATATTTATAACAGAATTCGTCTTGTATTTGAATCTAATAAGTTTTTGGGTTCAATATGGAAAGAATCTGCAAAATCCTAGTTACCAATCAGCTAGTTGGGATCTTGTCTTCGTAGGACTTATCCCCTAAAATGTTGGAAGAAGAAATTCACGGTCGAACCCTGAAAGCAACAAGCGAGAATGGACAAGAAAAAGGAACTTGTCCACTCTCCTACTAATTCTTTTCTCTTTAATCAAAATCCATCCGTGTAGCCTTTTCCTTCCGTCGTTGTTGTCGGTACAATGCGTATAAGAAATCATCAACTATTTTCACAACCTTACTCAGGTTAGAGTAAACGAGTATTTTAGTACTGACAATTTAACAACTATCTTTGTAGCTCTAGAATGTTTCCGTTTATGCTCCTAATCCATGCAACGAAAGTGTTTAGTGATGTTATTTTCAAACTCAGAAGGGTTTAATGGTTAATCCAACACCCAATTTTTGGTCTAAAATTTGGATTTTTTTGGGCTTCAGTGCCTCCATTTTTGAGATATGGCAAATACTGTGGGCTGCTGTATAGTGGGTGCCCTGGGGAGAGGCCCTGCGATGGCTTAGATGCTTGCTGCATGAAGCACGACGACTGTGTTCAAGCCAAGAATAGTGAGTCCTCTTCCTCTTCCTTCTATATTCATTTTCTACTATAACATAGTTTATTTTCAGTGGTTTATTTCTACCGCATTTAATAGATAAGTGGCCCCAAAAGTAATACGGGTAGGCAAGTATTGACTTTTTAGTACTCGTCTTGTTCCCCTTTGCCCACTGTGTATCACGCTTCGTTTTAATTAGTTCATTGTTAATAGAACGTTTTGGCGTGACATGTTCTTTAGATAAATTTTGATTCGACGGGATATAATTTAGATTATATTTCTTAGTTTAATCTGTCTGTTGTTGTGTCCAATAATTTTGGTGTTAGGATGTTGATGAGAGGACTAAATTTGTCTCTTTGTTTGAGTTACCAATAAGGTCACATGTGATGTTTGGTTTACTTCATTATTGTTTATGGATTAAATGAGGGTTTAGGTTTACTTTATTGTTGCCTAATTCACCATTTGTGGAAGACAGACACAAGATAAATATGGTAAAATTTTAGGTTTTGTTTATGGGAATGAAACAACTTTTTTCCCTTCCCTTCCCTCTGTTTACCAAATTAATAGAATAGTGAAATGGGAATGTGGAGCCCATGTCTAACTTTAAATTCTCAATTTATTACCGGTTAAGGTATTACTTATCTCTCTAATGGTCAAGTATTTGAATCTCCTAGCCTCTGGTCGAACTAAAAAAAACGTATTTGGTTTGTTAAAGTTTTATTGTCGTTATTGATATGACTCTCCCTCTTGTACTTGTGAACATGTTATATCTGCAACTATCATACATACGAATAAGTGTTATGAAAAATTTTAAAAACAAAGTTGAACATAAAAAAGGAGTGTAAAAAAGGTCACACCATCTTCGAGACCTTGAATATTGTTGTGTCTAACAAATTTCTAAGCTTTCGATATCCTAACTCATTAGATACAAAATTAAGAGTTTAAAGACCTATTTGATACGAAATTGAAAGTTCATAAACTTGTTAGACGCGTTTTAAAGTTGAAGGATCAATTAGACATAATAAATGAAAGTTTATAAACCTGTTAGAAAATTTTTATGAAACACAACGAGGTTCAAGATTCATGGACCAAACATACCATTTAACCTTAAAAGACAATGATTGGGTGTGTGGTATTTGGTTGGGCAGATGACTATCTAAGCCAAGAGTGCAGCCAAAGCTTCTTGAATTGCATGGAGAACTTCAAGAGATCAAAGCAAGCAACTTTCAAAGGAAACAAATGCCAAATTGATGAAGTCATTGATGTCATCTCACTTGTCATGGAAGCTGCCCTCATTGCTGGCAAAGTTTTTCACAAGCCATAGCCTAACCCTGCTTTCTCTTCTCTTCTCTTCCATTTTTCTCTCCTTTCTATGTTCTTCTTTCCATTTCTATCCAACTTCATTCATTTTCCCCTAATGCTTGTTTGTAAAAGAAGATACTAATGCCTTCTTTTTAAAACTCCTCTCTTTCCTCTTAAACAATCAATCATAATCAACTCTTTAATCTTCCTTCTCTCTCTAAATTCATTCAAAGAAGCTTAGCAAAGCAAATATTGAAAGTTATCCATCTGAATCAACATTTATTTGGTGCTATGAGAGTTAGTCATGCTCGTCATATTATTGGTAGGTTACACGTTGAGAGCTACCCAAATAAGATTCTTCACAACCTTAAATCTAAAAAAGAAAATGTAGAGATGATTTTAGAACTTCAAGATCTTAAATTTTCAATTTGATTTGTAGGGTACTTTCGCTTAATTTCAATCAGATTTCTATAGTTTTAAGAGCTTCAAACTAGTCGATTCAGTTTCCATTAAGTTTTAATTTTTCTCTTATGATTTACTTAGCTCTAAATGATAATACAACCAACAATCGACACACTCAACAATTTGTAGAATTTGACTAAACTATAAAGAATATGTGAACAAGACTAAAACTAGCTCTAAGAACTTAATTTGGTAATTCAACCTACATGAATGTAAAAGACCAAATTTCTACCAAGAACAGAAACAAAGGAATAATCAATGCATAGCCTAATACTTAATAGTAAATAATATCTTAAAAAACTTTCAAAATGAATAGAAATCTTTGGTAACCATCATTATCAAATGTGCCTCTCCACCACCTTCTTCTTCATGTGACTATTTCTCTATAAAAGTTGACATTATTCCAGAAGAGAATCTCAAAACAAAACAGAGACGTGATTGTCCTGTTATGAAACCACTTTCGATTGCAGAGAAAAAGTATTCCAATCATTCCATTTCAACTGGGTGCGGCTCTATTCAGTCCCTTCTTCATCCCACGCCATTATTTTACCACCACAAGCTCTTCTGCAACTTTCAAGTTTCGACCCGTCGGCCAGAATGATTCCAGATTCTATTGATCCGGCCCACCACTCCAACGGTATCTGTATAACTTTTGCTACTTTCGATTTGATTTTCTTCTGTTAATGGAATATCTCCAATCTATGTCGGTGATTGGAAATTTGGTTTGGGTTTGCAGGCGATCGGCTCCGGGAGCATCTACTGGTGGTGAGCGAGGAAAGTGAAGACGGAGGAGTGGATGGTCATCTCAAGATTCGGATTCGTAATCTGACCAAGGTTTCGGACGGGACGGAGAATCCGATTCTGAGAGGAATCAGCGTGGATATACCCAAGGGGAAGATCGTCGGAATTATTGGGCCGAGCGGAGGCGGGAAGTCCACGACGCTTAGGGCTCTCAATCGGCTCTGGGAGCCGCCGCCGGGGACCGTGTTTTTGGACGGTCACGATATCGTCGATCTCGACGTTCTCGACCTTCGCCGGAATGTCGGCATGCTCTTCCAAATCCCCGTTCTCTTTGAAGGTGCGCCACCATTTCTTCTCTTGTTTCTTTACTCCTAGGGCAAGTTTTTGTTAAACCGATCGGAAATTTTGGGGAATTTCTGGAGAATTTTTAGGGGAAAAGTAAACAATGTTGACATTAGTTGCTAGAAGTTGAGTTTCTTTGCAAGAGCATACAGGAGGGGACGCAGATTGAACCTAGCATCCAAATTCTTCATAATCGTAACTTGTTTTTGAAGAACAGTGTTTTTACTTTCTAGAAATTTCAAAACTATTTTTGATCATACGAGAGAGAATTGAACGTGCATTCCATGTAGTCCAAATTTATTGTCATGATCTGAGATTTTTCTGAGGCTTATGTTTTTGAGACTGATACTGCCAAAAATCTGTGGCTGCTGCAAATTCTTTGTTACCCAATTTTCACAGCAAACATTCCATTTCTTTTCCTTCAGGGACTGTTGCTGATAATATTAGATATGGACCACAGTTAAGGGGAAAGAAGCTGAGTGATGATGAAGTTTACAAGTTACTCACTATAGCAGATCTCGACTCCTCGTTCTTTAGCAAGAACGGCTCTGAATTATCGGTCGGGCAAGCTCAACGTGTCGCACTCGCTCGTACCTTAGCAAACGCGCCTGAGGTATTTACTTGCATTCTCTGAATCACATCACACCACAGCATCTGTTCTCCTCTCTTACATTTTGCTAGTGCTTTTGAGAAAGTGTGAATGAATTATAGCATAGCATATTGCTAAGTAGATATGAAATTTAGATAGAATTGGAATGGCATTTGTGTTTGATTGTTATGATAGTAATTGATCCAAATGTTCTGGATCAACTTGTGTGTTGTGTGTTGTGTTATCATTGTTTGATGATGGGATGTCTACTGTGGTGAAGGTGTTGTTGCTCGACGAGCCAACAAGCGCATTGGATCCAATCTCGACAGAGCACATCGAGAACGTGCTGGTGAAGCTGAAGAAGAAGAGGGGATTAACCATTGTAATGGTGTCCCATAGCATCAAACAAATCCAGAGAATTGCAGACATAGCCTGCCTGCTCGTGGACGGCGTGATCGTCGAAATCCTATCCCCCGACAGACTCTCGGAAGCAAAGCACCCAATGGCCCTCAAGTTCCTTGAACTCGGCTCTTGAAATTTAAAAAAGAAAAAACCCTTCATTGTTCATGTGTCCTCGTGTTTGTTTGTACACACATTCAAAGATTTCTCACTTCCAATGAAGACAAAACAAACAAACAATGTCGTATCGGTATCGCTATCGCTCCTATAATCGTTAGATATCTCTCTTATAATCGTTGGATGCATGATTCTATAGAGATTCGAACAGGGTCGGGGAAGAAAGATGATAATTGCGGTGCAGAGAGGAAGGAGGAAGAGAAGTAGGAGTGAAAATAGTGAAAATGTAGGAAGAAAAAGACAGATGG